TCTTGGAGAGCTGTCAGATCTTTATAAAGGTAATTCCTTTTCAAAGTGTCTTAACGTTTGTGCATCACTCATGTCTCGTAGCCAGCCCTCTGGTTCATTTGCAACTCCATAGGTTATATTTGTGTCTGTAAGGGTTTGTCTACATGGGAAAGCAAGTGCTCAGCAAGTAACAGTGTGAATTCACAGCACACTAGCTACTCCACACAAACTTTCTGTGTGGACACTCTTACTGAGCACCAGAAGTGCCCTCGGGAGTATTAGAGTGCATTAAGCTAACACACACACAAAGAGGATATGTCAACACTGCCATTAAAAACCCACAGCTAGCCCATGCCAGCTGGCTTGGGCTAAGGGGTTGTTTGATGGCCATGTAGACATTCAGGCTTGCGCTGGAGCCTGGGCTCTAGGACCATGCAAGGTGGGAGGGTCCCAGAGTTTGGACTGCAGCCCAAGCCCAAATGTCTATACTACACTTCAACAGCCCCTTAGCCCAAGCACCACAAGCCCAAGTCAACTGGCACAGCTGCCAGTGTTTATTTGTAGTGTAAAGATAGCCAAAGATAATTCTAATGCTCAGAAAGAGTGTCCACACAGGGAGTGTGTGGAGTAGCTAGTGCATGTGAATTCACAGTGGTTACTTACTGCACAGTAACTTTCCCATGTAGACAAGGCCTATGACAACATAATTCTGTAACTATTTAAAAAAAAAAAGTTATTTAAAGCCTTGTTTATTAAGAATAGGACCTGGATCATAGTGCTGGAAGTTCAGAAGACTGGAAGGAAGCTAATGTACTAATATTTACAGTGAACAGAGTCAATTATATGTCTGTCAGCATGACATTGATCCCAGGCAAAATAATGGAGCACCTGATATGGGACTCTATTAATAAATAAAAGGAGTGTAACATAATTAATACTAATCAACATAGGTTAATGGAAAATAAATCCTGTCAGACTAACTTGATATCTTGTTTTAATGAGATTACAAATTTATCTGATAACAGTAACAGTGTTGATGTAATAGACTTCTGTGCAAGGCAGCTGACATGGTAAGACATTTTGATTAAAAATAGAAGGATACCAAATTAACATGGTACACATAAAAACTGGTTTACTGACAAAGTCTCAAAATGTAATTGTAAATGGGGAATCATCATCAAGCAGGTGTGTTTTAGTGGGGTCCTCAGAGACTGGTTCTTGGTCCTACCCTATTTAACATGTGTCAAGATTCCTTCCCCACTCTGAACTCTAGGGTACAGATGTAGGGACCTGCACGCAAGACCCCCTAAGCTTATTCTTACCAGCTTAGGTTAAAACTTTCCCAAGGTACAAACTTTGCTTTGTCCTTGAACCGTATGCTGCCACCACCAAGCATTTTAAACAAAGAACAGGGAAAGAGCCCACTTGGAGATGTCTTCTCCCAAAATCCCCCGCAAGCCCTACACCCCCTTTCCTGGGGAAGGCTTGATAAGAATCCTCACCAATTGGTACAGGTGAACATGACCCAAACCCTTGGATCTTAAGAACAATGAAAAATCAATCAGGTTCTTAAAAGAAGAATTTTAAATACAGAAAAGGTAAAAGAATCACCTCTGTAAAATCAGGATGGTCAATACCTTACAGGGGAATCAGATTCAAAGCATAGAGAATCCCTCTAGGCAAAAGCTTAAATTACAAAGACACAAAAACAGGAATATACATTCCATCCAGCACAGCTTATTTTACCAGCCATTAAAACAAAAGGAAATCTAATGCATTTCTAGCTAGATTACTTACTAACTTAACAGAAGTTCTGAGGCTGCCTTCCTGATCTGTTCCCGGCAAAAGCATCACAGAGAGAAAAAAACCCTTTATTCCCCTCCAGATTTGAAAGTATCTTGTCCTCTCATTGGTCATTTGGATCAGGAGTCAGCGAGATTACCTTAGCTTCTTAACCCTTTACAGATGAATGGGTTTTGCCTCTGGCCAGGAGGGATTTTATAGCACCATATATAGAATGGTGGTTACCCTTCCCTTTATATTTATGACATGTTTATCAGTGACCCAGAAAAAAACATTAACAATCATCACTGATAAAGTTTGCTAATGACTCAGGTTGCAGGAATGGTAAATAATGAAGAGGACAGGTCACTGATACAGAGCAATATGAATCACTTGGTAAGCTTGTGGTGCTGTGGACAAAAGAGCTAATGCATTCCTTGAATATATAAACCAGGGAATCTTGAGCAGGAGTAGGGATGTTATATTACCTTTTGTGTCTTGCACTGGTGTGACCACTACTGAAGTACTGTGTCCCCATCTAAAGGAGGTTGATAAATTTGTACAGATTTGAATTTGTGGTTCAGATTAGAGCCATAAGAATGACTAAAAGATTAGAAAGCAAATTGGAGGATTGGGCAAAAAAAAATTTGGGGGGTTTAATAAAGGAGAGGGGGGGGGCCCCCCCTTTGGAGGGAGAAACCCCCCCCCCCACCCCAAACGGGGGGCAAAGTTTGTGGGCGCAGTTTTTGGGGAAAAGGGACGGGGGGGGAGGGGGGGGGGGGGGGGATGGGGGGCCGGGGTGCGCTTTTTTTGGTGGGGAAAAAGGGGGTTTGGTGTGGTTTGGTGGGGGGAGAGGGGGGCAGAGAGAGGGGGGGGGGCCTTCTCCCTTTTCTTCCTTGGGGGGGGTCTCTTGTGGGGTGTTCTGTGTTTTTTGGGCCCCCCCTCTCCAAAAGGGGTGGAGAAGGGTGGGGAGAAGAGGGGGGAGAAAAGAAAAGGGGAAAAGGAATATATAGGAGATGGGGGGGGAGGGGTGGGGGGGGGGGGGGGGGGTTGGGAGGAGGGGGAGGAGGAGGGGGGGGGGGTGGGTTGGGTGTTTTTTTGGGGGGGGGTTATGCCTTATAATGACAGACTCCAGGAACAAACATCTATCTAGCTTCAAGAAAAAGTTAAGAGATGACTTGATCATAGTCTCTATCTTTACCTACAAATGAGGAACAACAATTTTATACTAGAAGGCCTTTCAGTCTATCAGACAGAAGTCTAACAAGATCCAATGGCTGGAAGCTGAAGCTAGACAAATTCAGACTGGAAATAAGGCACACATTTTTAACAGTGAGGTTAATTACCCATTGAAACAATTTACTAAGAGTTGAGATGAATTCTCCATCACTGGCAATTTTTAAATCAAGGCTGGATTTTTTTTGGTTTTTTTGTTTTTGTTTTTTTGTTTTTGTTTGTTTGTTTTTTAAGAGACCTGCTCTAGGAAATAATTCAGGGAAGTTCTATGGCCTGTGTTATGCAAGTGGTCAGACCAGATGGTCACTATGATTCCTTCTGGCTTTAGAATCTATGAATATATAGTCTGTTCCCTATCCTCATCTTAAATCTAGATAGGAGGAGTTTTCCTTTCCCACACAGAGCACACTTCGCCACAAGTCTTATTGCTCCCCTCCCTACTCCTGTGCCCTCCCAAAATGGGCTGTTACCCATTTCTTGCTCATGCTGTCTTTAAATGCTAAGTGCATGCATACATGGAGTCACTAGTAATAGTAAAAGTGATTTTATTATTAGTTTGGTGAGAGCATTGCCTTGGGACTCACCCAGCTCTAAGATGAAGGCTAGTTTTGAAATATTTTTGAATAGTTAATTCTATGATCTAGCGCAGATTTTTATTGATAGATAAAAAAACAGCCCAATCAAGAATGTCTAAAACACACTTTGAAACACTTAAATACACTAAATCACACTTCCCCCACCTAAATTATAGAGTTGTGGTTCTAATCTGAAGAGTGACTACCTAAAAATATAAACTTTTTACTCAAACCCTCCTATTGCCTCACTGCCTTTGTGTATTCAGTCATTGCTGCTTTCCAGATCAAAATAAAATATTCATTACCAATCATTCCCACTAGCACTGCAGAGTTAACAAAGGTAGGAGAGAGTCAAGTGCATTCTATTACAGTTCCCATATCAAACAAATTGTTTACTAAGCCCCTGCAGCTGAAAATGGTGATGTTTATGCTTGAAAAGACCCAGCTTGACTTTCAAGTTCCAGGCTAAATTTGCAGGGCAAGCAGAAAGGGAGAAAACATCTTCCTATTTGTAAATTGAGCAGATTGGACTTGGGAGTCAGAGAGACAAACTTGAAACTACACGAGAAATATGACAGTGATGGAGATTAGGAATCTAAAGAGAACTGTTACATTTTTCAAAACAGAACTGCACTTTAAACTGAAAAATTAAATTATGCAAATATGTTGCTGCTGCTGATTATTTTGGGTTTTTTATTACATTAGTACCTAGAGGCCTCCACCAAGATCAGGCCTACTTTGGAGTTGCCACTGTAAACACACATAGTAACAGATAATCCTTGTCCAAAACGTTTTCAATCTAAGATTCTGATTCAGAAAAGCATCCCTATTCAGGAAAACACTTAAGCACACACAACTTTAAGAATATTCTTAAATGCTTTTCTGAATTTCAGCCTAAACAGACCAAGGAATTATTATCCCCATTTAACAGATGGGGAGCTGAGGCATGGAGAGATTAAGCGACTTGCCCAAGGTCACTCTAGAAGATCACAATGGTCCCTTCTGGCTTTGTAATCAATAGTATAACTAAATGTCACACAAGAAGTTAGTGGCAGAGCCAGGAATTGAGCCCATATCTTTAGAGTCTCACTCCAGACATTACCCACAAGACCATCACTCAACCCTTAAAGCCATCTTGACTGATCTTACATCCCAAAGAGTGATATGTAGTAATGTGGTGTGAAAGTGACATACCAAAAGAATATTTTTAGATTGTAAAGTCTTCTGGTCAAGGACTGCCTGATACTGAGTCTGAAAGTGCTTAGCAAAACTGGGCTCCAATCCTGGTTGATGCTATTAGCAAAAAAACAAAAAACTAAATTCAAAATTAATACCCATGAGTTTTGGGGAGGTAGTAAGATTCAAGTCACAATTTCCAAAACTGTGTTTTAGTGACTAACTTATTATTTTAAGAATAAAATTGGAGCATTAAACCTCACGATTTTCATTTATTGTTCCCAATAATAATAAAAGCTAATGCATTATTTCAACTTCAATTTTGCTATAGACAAAATAGCCTAAAAGCACAATATGTATATAATTTACCTGCAAAATCAGTTATCAGTGTATCATTACTAGACAGAGATGATTAATACCAACTGAGCAAGAATTGTTTTAACTCATAGAACAACTAAATCTGCCAAAATGGAAATGCAATTCATAACACACTTTAATATCCTAATCTGACATAGAAATCAAATGAAAATGAACACAAGTCTTGCATAGTACATTGTTCCTGACAATGTAATACATTTAGAAACTTAGAAGTTCAAATCATATTTCCCATGCATTAGATACTTATTTGAGCTTATACTCCATCGCTCTTCTTCTGACGGGAAATTGTACCTATTCTGCCACCAAGATGTGTCCAAAGAGAAAAAGACAGCGAAACTTACTTGAGAATTAGCACAAAACCAGACATAACCCATGAATTTAGAATTTACCCATGGATATAAGTAAATCTAGAAAGGCTGTACTTGAACTAGATACAAACGTTGCTGAATTTGTCCTTTGGAAGGACCTGAAGTATGCACCAGAGAACAGAGAAATAGTTTCCTGTATTGCTACATTTGTAAATAGCCAAGTAATGCAAAACACATGCAAGTACTTCCTCTTCAGCCTTTCTCAGAATGAACTTGTCACCCCTAAAAGCAATATAATAAAAGATGCAGAAATCCTGTGTATTGGATTGGTCTCTGCCATAGTTTAACAATGGTGGGTATTATTCCTATTTTGCAGATAGGGAAACCAAGGCAAAGAAGCCTGATTTTTTTTTAAGTCAGTCACATTACAACCGCACAGGCAACGGGACAATCCGACACATAATAGCTATTTGTGCAAAATAAGTATTTGATTTTCACACCCATTTATGGAGTTTGCATGCACCTAAATTCAAAACTCAGGTCCTAACTCAGGTCCCAACATCACCCAGCACATCAATGGCAGATTCAGGAACAGAACACAAGCCTAACAGAGTCCTTGACGTGACGGCCAGACAACACTCATTTTATATGCAACATTAGAAAGTCTGGAATGTTCTGCCAACAGGTGCTCTGACAGGCTCAATGCAAACAACTTATATTAGGTTAGAGGCAAAAACGGAACTTACGGAAGTAAATAAATTAAGCCTTTGAGAAAATTCTAACAAGCAGATGGTTTCCTACATCGTGCCTCTAAAACAATGTGAGACTAGACACCTAAGTCAAAAATAGATTAGTTATCTCTAAACCCCCTTAATTTTTAAAATTTGGTTTTTTTTTAAATGTTGATTTTTCAACACTAATGTTGGCTGCAATGTAAAAAGTGAGCACTCTGCTTGGACAATGAGAGCAGTGTAAACAGTTGGATTCTCTGGCTCTCCTGCACTAACACAACTAGTGTTAAATAGGATATTTATTTCTTACACCTGTTTTCAATGGATTAAAAAAAATAGTTTTACAAAAACCTAAATTTGGGGCCCAAAGGGACCTGACAGTATCAAATCTACTTAAGACCATGGTTAAAACATATTATTAAATCCTGTAAACCATTAGCCATGTCATCAAATCTGGCAAAAAAATTTGACATGATTTATACACATGTATTTTTAATCTGCCTAAGAGATGTCAGATCCCTAACTCCAGGTTATCAAAGTAGAATACTCCTACTCTACATTACCATTTATATAGAAAAAGCAAAAAACAAGTCCCAAAAAATCATATTCCTTCATATCAGGAACGTGGTGAGTCAATACATGGTACCTTTTATGTGAAAACATCCATTGAGTAAATGCACAAGACATGAATTCAACACCAGTAGGGAGTGTATGAGATCTCAAGTTAACCAGAATTTTCCAAACAAGAAGTGAGCTAAGAAAAGAAGATTTTAAAATGTTAAGACAACATGGCTTCATGTTATCACCAAAACTGTGTCTTTCATGTACCATTCACCCTGTGCGCCCAAAGTTGCCTCAAAATTTAAAAATCTGTGTGAAATGCAAGATTCTGCACTTCAGATTTACAGCTCCTTAAACTTGGATCATCAGACTTTACTACAATGTTACTGCTAAGGAAAACTTGAACGTCTCTTACACCAAACATTATATTATAATGCCATATGGAAAAGTATTAGTGTCAAAACATGGAATGTTTTTTCAGAAATTGTGTCTGTGCTCAAATTCACATAAAAACCCAGCATTTTTACAACCATATTTAAATTTAATTATTGTACACAGGTTAACAAAAAAGTATCACAAGTAAAACTAAACATTGGATTTAACAAAAACAATAGAGTGGTACAATGGGTGTTCAATTTTTCAGGAAATAATATTACAAATAACCATCTCTCAGAGACTTTAACCTCACTAGGGACACAGTTTGTTAAAAATGTAGCTGTTATCTACTGAGCCACTTATCTTAGCACTACAGTATATTTGAAGTCAGAGTCCTACGGTCAAGGTATAAAAATCAATCAAGAGTCTAGTCCCCAGAGTGTGTTAGTCACAACCATTGTATTTCTTTGAAAGGGGAAGGGGGGAAAGGAAGAAGAAAAAAGAGACCCCAAAAACAGATTCATTAAAAGGCTGCTGTATATAGTTTATCCTTCCCATAGCATACTCAGTTCAAATTATTGTTAATATCATTGGTAGTATGGTCTATATCTGGTTTGATCTGGGTGATGTGGTCCAGGAAGTGGGGCTTGAGAAGGTGGACCTTGCATTCTTGGGGGTGGAGGAGGCCCTCTTGGAGCGGGCCACATCCCCGGACTCATTCCCCCAGGCTGTGTAAAAGGAGGGCTGAGAGTTCCTTGATCTTCACTGAACTGCGGCAAAGAGTTAGGATTATAGTGATGGGGAGGGGGTGCATTTACATTTACAGGTGGGCCACCATGTTGAGGAGGGGGAGGTCCTGGAGGAGGGTGATTCATATATGGTGGCATTTGGGCAATTATGTGTCCAGGGGGAGGGGTTATTGGTGGTGGAGCAGAGGTCATCGGTGGTGGTGGAGCTTGGCTATAAACCATATGAGGAGTACCTGCTCCCTGGGGAGGATGTTGCATTGGATGGCTTATTGGTGGTGGTGGTGGCGGGGGTGGTGCATAATGTTGCTGTGGAGGCATAATATGATGAGGATGGGATACCACTGGTTGACCCTGATATTCAGGATGATGATGAGCAGGTGCTGGGGCTGGTGGAGGTGGTTCTCGAGCACCTGAATTTGAATCATCCTGAATAGGGACAGTTATTAAATTGCTGTGTTTTCTCGTGGAAATACGAAACGTATCCTGACTGACCGAGCGAGGTGGTGGTGGAGCCATTGACATCTCTGAAGGGGGTGCACGAATGTCCTCATGTGGTTGGTTATAATGCTCGTGCTGCACATGCTGTAAAGGAGGTGGCGGCATCATGAGGTGCTGCTTTGGTGGGATATGGCTCATATGATGCTTATCAGGTGGCATTATGAAACGCTCAGGAATTTCAGCAGGAGGTGGGGCAATAGGAGGATGAACAGGTTCAAGTGGAGGACGGGTAACAGGTTTTCCAGCTCTCATATGACGATGGTTGATGTGAGCTTGTAAGTCTCTCTGAGACAAATATGTTCTCTTGCACCCTTGAACAATGCTACACATGAAGAGAGACCCTCGCACACATTGCTCAATTCGCTGCACGGGATCATTACAGCTAAATTAGAAAAAAAGATCAGTTTATTATCATCACCAACAGCTGTGAATCTAGAAATATTTAGGCTAAATGATCATTCCACAATTCTACATATTAGAATATTCATACATATTAGAAGTAACATTTTTTAGTGCCAACGCAACACAAAAAGCTTGTATTTCCTTAATTCAAATTAAATTACAATATTTCAAAATTAGACAGACATTCTCCTATAGAAGCACAGCTACAAAGTACATCAACGTTTCCTGAGGAGACATTTAGAACTGACGTCCCATAATCTGTATCATATTCTAAGATGTGTCAAAAAGCACAAAAGAGAAGGGGTTCTTGAGATGAGGGTATACAATTAGTAAGTGAGCCTTAACTACTAGTGAACTGTCATTTGCGCTATTGCAGGTAATAACGGCAAGACTGAACACAAATATGTCAACTACTTATTTTAAATATCTTCTATTTACCATTTAAACTAGGGCTGTCGATTAATCAGTTAACTCACGTGATTAACTTAAAAATATTAATAGCAATTAAAAATATTGTGACTAATTGCAGTTTTAATCGCACTGTTAAACAATAGAATACCAATTTAAAATTATTAAATATTTTTGGATGTTTTTCTACATTTTCAAATATATTGATTTCAGTTACAACAGTATACAAAGTTGACAGTACTCACTTTATATTACAAATATTAGCACTGTAAAAATGGCAAACAAAAGAAATACACTGGACCCTCACTAGAACGCGCGTCTATATAGCGCGAATTCACATATAACGCGGTCGTGGCCATGGATCCCAAATTTAATTACTTTAATTGCAATTCATTTTAATGCGGTCCCCGTGTTAACACAGTACCACGAATGGATCCCAAAACCCGCGTTCTAGCGAGGGTCCGGTGTAGTATGAGGTGAATTTAAAAATACAAGTACTGTAGTGCAATCTCTTCATCGTGTAAGTACAACTTACAAATGTAGATTTTTTTTTGTTACATAACTGCACTCAAAACCAAAAGAATGTAAGACTTTAGAGCCTACAAGTCCACTCAGTCCTACTTCTTGTTCAGTCAATCACTAAGACAAACAATTTGTTTACATTTACGGGAGATAATGCTGCCCGCTTCTTATTTACAACGTTACCTGAAAGTGAGAACAGGCGTTCGCACTGCACTTTTGTAGCTGGCATTGCAAAGTGTTTAAATGCCATTTATGCTAAACATAAATATGCCCCTTCATGCTTTGGCCACCATTCCAGAGGATATGCTTCCGTGCTGATGACGCTTGTTAAAAAAATAATGCATTAATTAAATTTGTGACTGAACTCTTTGGGGGAAGAATTGTATGTCTCCTACTCTGTTTTACCCGCATTCTGCCATATATTTCATGTTATAGCGGTCTCGGATGATAACCCAGCACATGCTGTTTGTTTGAAGAACACTTTCACTGCAGATTTGACAAAACGCAAAGAAGGTACCAATGTGAGATTTCTAAAGACAGCTACATCACTCGACCCAAGGTTTAAGAATCTGAAGAGCCTTCCAGAATCTGAGAGGTACTAGGTGTAGAGCATACTTTCAGAAGTTTTAAAAGAGCAACACTCCAATGCAGAAACCACAGAACCCAAACCACCAAAAAAGAAAATCAACCTTCTCCTGGTGGCATCTGACTCCGAGGATGAAAATGAACTTGCTTTGGTCTGCCCTGCTCTGGATGGTTATTGAGCAGAACCCATTATCAGCATGGACGCATGTCTTCTGGAATGGTGGCTGAAGCATGAAAGGACATATGAATCTTAAAGTTTATCTAGCACATAAATATCTCATGGTCGGCTACAACAGTGTCATGTGAATGCTTGTTCTCACTTTCAGGTGATATTGTAAACAAGAAGCAGGCAGCATTATCTCCTGCAAATGTAAACAAACTTGTTTGTCTGAGCAATTGGCTGAACAAGAAGTAGGACTGAGTGGACTTGTAGGCTCTAAAGTTTTACTTTTTTTTAAAAAAAATGAAGTTATTTTTTGTACATAATTCTACCTTGGTAAGTTCAACTTTCATGATAAAGAGATTACACTACTGTACTTGTATAAGGTGAACTGAAAAATACTCTTTTCTTTTTTACAGTGCAAATACAGCGGACTCTCACTACAGCATGCATAGCTAGAGCACGGATTCCCATATAGCACGGTTGTGGTGGTGGATCCCAAATTTAAATTGGGATCCATGGTAACGCGGTCCCCTCATTAACACGGTACCGCGCATGGATCCCGAACCCCGCGTTCTAGTGAGGGTCCAGTGTATTTGTAATTAAAAATAATAATATAAAGTGAGCACTGTACACTTTGTATTCTGGGTTGTAACTGAAATCAATATTTTTGTGTTTTCTACATTTTCAAATATATTTAAATAAATGGTTTTTTTTTTTTAAATCGTGTGATTAATCGCAATTATCTTTTTAATCGTTTATTTTTTTAACTGCTTGACAGCCCTAATTTAAACATCAACAGTTAAACTGAATCTCTCAATATCTGGATGACAATGTAGTGTCAAGTACAACCCCTCTGGTACAGCAAAAGCATTCTTTGCTTCTTCCTACTGAGCTGTTTTTTCAACAAACAAAAATTAAGACATATGTGAAAATAAGCAGTTTAAATTATTCCAGTATATTCTCCCTTTTTAATAAGCAATCACTAGTGAACTTACCCTGGGCACATCTTGTCGCCCTTCTTCTCATGTAATATAGCACAGTCATAGCAGAAAACATGCTTGCAAGGTATCTAGAGACACACAAACAATCGCTTCATTAAACCATTATGTGTAAACCAGTATGTCATTTATAGAATGTATTTTTGATAAATTAAATAAGTTTTGATACATTCCTCCCTCATGAACATGCTTTCTCAGTGTGTATCTTCTTGAAAATAAAATTCTTATATTTAAGTTGTCTGAAATGCATGCTGGGAAATGGACAAGATACAGCTATATGTAACAAAGTATGCAGTACCTTTGATGGGACATTTTCAAAAATAGCTTGAATAAGGTACATTCCATTAAAAAGAAAATGCAAAGAATGCACCACGAGCTCTTCCTATGGCAGCGAGGCAAGGCTGTTTATGGAAACTACAGCCGTATATTTCAGCTGTCCCTGCTACGGGGACTTAGTAACACCAGTACCGGTACTTCATGGTTTAGCAACTGGCATTCTAGGCTCCCCCTTGCTAATCACAGTTCTTTTAGCAGGACTCAGTGCTCTGCTTCTGCCAGTCTCCCATGTAACTGTGCACACATTAACTTGGATGGAGCTTGCACTTCTCCAAATCAAGTTGAAAATTTCCATCCTGGCAGTTGGAATAGTTCAAGTTCTGTGACAGGTCAGCGAAGGCACAACTGAACAGGACACAGTGGCTTTAACGGCCAATGCCTAAGGTCCATGTCTCGCTAATTGGTACAGTTCTCCAAATAGACTGGTATTCACCCAGGCTTTAAAATAAGGAAGAGACTACACAGCAGAGCTGGATTCACAGTGCAGCCTGTAAAGTTCTTAACTGGCATATCTGAGCCTTGGCATCTCTACTACAACTATAAATGACTCAAGGAATCAAGTTACCACATTGTTCTTCCCAAACTAGTAAAAACATGGTTCCAAGATGTAGTGTAGGTGTGTTTTTAACGTCGCCACAGGCAAGTTAAAACTCTGGACAATCCACTTATATTACAAACCCCATTACAGAGACATAGGACCAGTCTGCAAAACAACTTTTAAATGGTCAACGGCCAAACTGGTGTAACAATTCCTCCTGACTTGGTCATAACCGTTGTGTAGGCAAGACCTAATGAATCAAACTACATTCCTGAAATGCTTTTCAGCACACCACAGATGCTACAAGGAGCAAGTGAGTAAAAGGAAAGATTACAACTTAACACCACAAATGTCTTCACGGTCTATAAAATAAATAAATAAATAAAAATGCTCCCCTAAGCATCTTAATAATAAAGGTTGGTTGGCCTGAATTAGGACTATAAAGGTTAGTGACTCAAAATGCAATGCTAATTTTTAAAAAATTAAGCCAAAGTTAAATCCCTCAGCATCTATTAACTTTTAGTCAATATTTTAACTTTATTCTTTGCATGCTGTTATATCACTGCTTTAAAGGAGCACAGAAATGAGTAACATCTAGTATTTACTAACTCAGTTAAAGTCATCAAGTAATATACAATGCTTAGCTTAAAAAATAAGTTGCTTTAAGGCTAAACGGGCCTATTCATAGATATTTAGGTCAGAAGGGACCATTATGATCATCTAGTCTGACCTCCTGCACAACGCAGGCCACAGAATTTCACCCACCACTCCTACAAAAAAAAAAACCTCACACCTATATCTGTGCTATCAAAGTCCTCAAATCGTAGTTTAAAGACTTCAAGGAGCAGAGAATCCTCCAGCAAGTGACCCGTGCCCCATGCTACAGAGGAAGGCGAAAAACCTCCAGGGCATCTTCCAATCTGCCCTGGAGGAAAATTCCTTCCCGACCCCAAATATGGCGATCAGCTAAACCCTGAGCATATGGGCAAGATTCACCAGCCAGATACTACAGAAAATTCTTTCCTGGGTAACTCAGATCTCACCCCATCTAATAGCCCATCACAGGCCATTGGGCCTATTTACCATGAATATTTAATTACCAAAACCATGTTATCCCATCATACCATCTCCTCCATAAACTTATCGAGTTTAATCTTAAAGCCAGATAGATCTTTTGCCCCCACTGCTTCCCTTGGAAGGCTATTCCAAAACGTCACTCCTCTGATGATTAAAAACCTTCGTCTAATTTCTAGTCTAAATTTCCTAGTGGCCAGTTTATATCCATTTGTTCTTCTGTCCACATTGGTACTGAGCTTAAATAATTATGCTTATTATGCCTATTATGCTTCCACTGAAGTCAATAGATATTTTTAAATGGACTACAATGGCAGCAGGATCAAGCACCATGTCAGCCACTCTTCCAAAGCGATTTTACCCCTTAACCAAACAAGGAGACATCAGCAAAAGATATCTGCAACAAGAACAGCTTGGAGTTCTTGTACAAATTAAGGCCTTGATTTTATACTGAGACGCATTGGTATATACCCTTTTGCTCATGCAGAGCCTAAAGTCAATGAGCTCTGCATGGGATAGGTATGCATCTATGTGCATCTCAATGCAGGATCAGGGCCTAACTTTACAATAATTCTACTTAGTGGGAAGCTGCGACTCCTATTTAAAAAAAAAAAAAAAGTTAAGTAGCTGTTTTGTATGACGTTACACTTGCACTAGCTAACTACCCATATGCCAATGGGAGCACAGAGCACTTTTCCAAGAACAGGTATAGACTTCATGTTAGTTCACAGCAGGGTAGCTTTTCTATCAATACAGCTCTACTCACCATGCGCCCATACAATTTGATGGGCAATCCACACTTGTCACAGAAATGGACTGGGGTATCATCCTTTTCTCCCAGCAAGTTTATCTGTCAAAATAGCATTCATTAGGGCTCCTTATTTCATTAGGGTATTACCAATATGCTTGAAAGTTCATAAATATTTAATAAGGAACAGAGAACTACATACAATCTGAGAAACACAGCACAGAATATAGTTTCAGAAAGTCAGAAAGCAGTGGTAGCACTTATTTTTTATTTGATTTCTCTAAAGATAAGTAGGATGCTCTGCACTCTGAGAATATTAAGAATTAGCTTACGCCCTAAGGATTTCAAATTTAACGTATAGTATCATCAGAACTATTGCATTCATGAGTGTACCTTAAAGTCCCAAAATATGTGTCCAGGGAATCTTCTTGGATTCCCAAACATGTCCGCTCCTTTGCAGTCATACCGCTCCTCTTCATTATAATCAAATTCTTCTGGGGGGAATGGGAGGGGGGAAGAAAGAAAAACAATTTTTCTAATTGACCCAAGTTGCTATTAAAAACACATGCCATTCTACATTACAATCATCAAGAAATGCTACAGCATTTCCAATGTCTGCAGCCTGCCTTAATTCCATTCCGCAAGGAAAAGTAACAGAAGTAGTGCTACACTCTGAAGACAGAGACCATTTATTTTTTTATACTGCAGAAGCACCTAGAGGCCTCTAACCTGTACTCTTATAAGTTTGGACGGCATCTAACATATTAGTTCTCCAATACTGAGTATGGCCCCCGAGCACCACTGCAATATAAATAATAATAATAAATTAATACCCTTTCCTTCTATAGCATTAAACTATTTAAATTAGTTTACCTTCATCACCAGCCTGTGCCTTTGAAGGCATCCTGTTCATAATTCTTGGAGCGCGTGGTGCAGGTTTGGTTTTGTTGGGCTGTTTGGAGATGAGCTTTATAGGGATTCGTCTGCGAACATCAAGACCACCCAACGATCCAGAACTATTAGTGCCTTGCAAATCATTGTCTATACAAGAGAAAAATATGTTTACTGTCATTTTCCAGTTATTTTATACATTAGTTTCTGAAAGGATTAGATATTAGCAGAGACATTTTAAGGAAAACACTGATTTTATTAAAGCTAGTTTAAGCCTTCATTTACTGTACCAGAATTTACTTGTTTGAAAAAAATCTTAATCTATTGCTCACATGGTACCTTCAAACTGTCAGGTCATGCCAACAGTATTGGTCATAAATGAAATTATGCAGTAATATGACATTTATAATGAAATCAGTTTTGGAGTGAATCAGTCTCTCTCTTTCTCAAACTGTAACTTCTTTGGGGCAGACTCTGTCTTTTTATTGTGTGTTTGTACAGCATCTTGCACAGAAGTACCCTAATTCATGATTAGGGCTCCTTGGAATAAACACTGTACAACTAATGAACAAGGATCTTCCCTCAGGAACGGTTTCGTATATACTGTTTACAAGGGAAACCAAAAGACAAACATATTCCGTTTATGATCTTGGGCAAAATAATGGAACAGCTGAGATGGGGCTCAATTAATAAAGAAGGGTACTATTATTAACGCAAATCAACAACCATTTCCAGAAAATAGATCTTATCAAACTAACTTGATATCTTTTATTTATGAGATTACAAGTTTGGTTAATAAAGGTAATAGTGTTGATGTAATATAGTTAGACTTCTGTAAAGCATTTCACTTAGTATCACATGATATTTTGATTAAAATCTAGGCCAATATAAAATTGACATAGTAAATGTTAAATGGATTAAAACTGATAGGCCTCAAAATGTAACTGTAAATGGGAAAATCGCCACTAAGCAAGTATGTTTCTAGTAGGGTCCCACAGAGATCAGCTTTTGGCCCTATGCTATTTAACATTTTTATCAATGACCTGAAAGAAAATAAAATCATCTCTGATAAAGTTTGCAGATGACACAAAAATTGGGGGAATGGTAATCAATAAAGAGGGTAGTTCACAGATTCAGAGCAATCTGGATTGCTTGGTAATCTGGGCACAAGCAAACAATGTGTGTTTTAATACGCTAAAGGTAAATGTATACACCTAGGAACAAAAAATGTAGGCCATACTTACAGAATGGGGAACTCTATCCTGGGAAGTAGTGACTGAAAAAGATTTGGAGGTTATAGTGGATAATCAGCTGAATGTGAGCTCCCAATGTGATGCTGTGACCAAAAGAACTAATGTAATCCTGGGATGCATAAACAGGGGAATCTTGAGTAGGAGGCTGTTTTACCTCAGTGTACTTAGTGGTGGTTAAACTGCTGCTGGAATACTGTGTCCATTTCTAGTGCCCACAATTCAAGAAGGATGTTGATAAAATGGAGAGGGTTCAGAGAACAGCCATGAGAGCAATTAAAGGATCAGAAAACATGCCTTACAGTGACAGACACAGAGAGCTCATCTATTTAGTACGCGGGTTCTCAAACTGGGGGTCAGGACCCCTCAGGGGGTCACAAGATTACTACATGGGGGAGTCACAAGCTGTCAGCCTCCACCCCAAACCCCACTTTGCCGCCAGCATTTATAATGGTATTAAATATATTAAAAAAAAGTGTTCTTAATTTATAAGGGGCTAGCTATGTGAAAGGAGTCACTAGTACAAAAGTTTGAGAACCACTGATTTCGTATAACAAAGAGAAGGTTATGGGATGAGTTGATTACAGTCTACATAGAAAAAATATTTAATAATGGGCTCTTCATTCTAGCAGGAATGATATAACACAATCCAATAGGTAGAAGATGAAGTTAGACTGACTGGTCAATCCCAGAAGATCTCCGGCAGCACAGCAGGGCTGCCGCTAAGACAGGCTCCCTGACTGCCCAGGCCTCACGCTAGGCCCAGAAGTGGCCAGTGCACCCCGCAGCGCCAGGGGGGAAGGTTCTCCCTCCACGTGCTGCTCCTGCCTGCAAGCACTGCTCCTGCAGCTCCCATTGGCCGGGAACGGGGACCTGTGGTCAATGGGAGCTGAGGGGGCAGTGCTTGCAGAGAGGGGCAGCACGCAGAGTCATGTGCTGTCCCCCTCTCCCAGGGGCCGCAAGGGCGCCTAAGCCCCTTCTGGGAGCGGTGTGGGGCCAGGGCAGGCAGGGAGCCTGCCTTAGCAGCAGCCACGCTACACCACTGCTGGATGTAAGTGCTGCCTCGCAAGAAGCCGCACCTCAACCCCCAGCCCTAAGCTCCCTCCCGGAGCCAGCACCCCGAACTCCCTCCTGCATCCTGAACCCCAGTCCTGACCCCCGCCCCCAGAGCCAGCACCCTTTCCCCCCTCCTCCATCCCAACACTCTGCCCCAGCCCAGAGCGCCCTCTTGCACCCCAACTCCCTGCCCCAGGCTCAGCCCAGAGCCCCCTCCCACACTGCAAACCCCTCAGGCCCAGCCCAGAGCCCGCATCCTCTCCTGAACCCCAACCCCTACCCCAGCCTGGTGACAGTGAGTGAGGATGGGGGAGAATGAGGGACCCGGGGGGCGAGGGGGGGGAAGTGAGTGGGGTCAGGCCTTGGGGGAAGGGGCGGGGCAGATCCTGGGTTGCCCTTAAATTCAAAAAGTGATCTTGGGCATAAAAAAGTTGGAGACCACTGAGCTAGACAAATCCAGACTGGAAATAAGGCATACTTTTTTGAGTGAGGGTAATTAACCATGGGAATAATTCACTACAGTCATGGTGTATTCTCCATCACTGACCATTTCTAAATGAAGATGGGATATTTTACTAAAAGATATGACCTAAGAATTATTTTGGGGAAGTTCTATGGCCTGGGCTATAAAGGAGGTCAGACTTGAGCATCAGAGTGATCCTTTTTGGCCTTGGAATCTACAACATCTTATTTAACACATCACTGGAACATCAGTGACCAAATATAGCAAACAGAGAATTAATAAGGCTTTACCGGCACATCTGATAACATATTTATGTAAAATCAAAGGCTAATCCCCCTACACACATAAGAATGGCCTTACTGGGTCAGACCAAAGGTCCATCTAGCCCAGTATCCTGTCTTCCGACAGTGGCCATTGCCAGGTGCCCCTGAGGGAATGAACAGAACAGGTAATCATGAAGTTTTCCATCCCATCGCCCATTCCCACCTTCTGGCAAACAGAGGCTAGGGACATCATCCCTACCCATCCTGGCTAATAGCCATTGATGGACCTATCCTCCATGAACTTATCTAGTTCTTTTGTGAACCCTGTTATAGTCTTGGCCTTCACACACACACACACACACACACACACAAACCCCTCTTAAGAGCAGTTTTAATCTTAAATCTCCAGTGCAAGGGAGGCAAGAGACACCCTGACACATGTCAATTCCCAAGACAATGGGCAAGGACAATGTCTAGGCAATAAACAGGGCCCTCATTACATGAAAATATTATGCAATGGTATTACTGTAGCACCTATGAACCCTAGTGATGGATCTGAACCCCACTGTGCTAGGTGCTGTACAAACAAAGAAAGAGACAGTCCCTGCCCAAGCAGTTTACAATCTGAGAAAATATATGGAGGAGTACAAAGCAGTAACGAGACACACAGAGGCAGTCGGGACTGGTGCATCACACAGACAATATATCAAGTTTGTGGATGTTCCTCATATTGGGAAATTATGACTCCGTTTATAATAAAATGTATGATGATGCTCACATGCATTCCTGGGCAGCCAACTTAAAGGAACACTGCAATTTCAGAGCAGAGGTCAACAGGGGGAACAATTCTGAATTGCATACTGAGGCACTGCAAAAAAGCGGATAGCCCCTGTCTGCAGAACACTGATGTGTCTGCACACATGGAATATAGAGATCAGATATATGTTTTAGGCCAGGGGTTCTCAAACTGGGGGTCGGGACCCCTCAGGGGAGTCATGAGGTTATTATGTGGGAGGCTGCAAGCTGTCAGCCTCCACCCCAAGCCCCGCTTTGCCTCCAGCATTTATAATGGTGTTAAATATATAAATACATGTTTTTAATTTATGGGGGGGGTGTCACACTCAGAGGCTTGCTATGTGAAAGGGGTCACCAGTACAAAAGTTTGAGAACCACTGTTTTAGGCAATCCAGTCCATCTCATTGCCAGCGCAGATACCTACAACAGAAAGTTCCGTTCTGGTACTTCAAGATCAGAACCTTCTGAGAAAATTAACAAAGACGATTATAGGGCTTGAGTGATTGAATGAGGTATTTTTCTGAGAGAAGGATAAAAGAATCAAGTAGGTATCAGTATGGCTAAATCAGGAGAAAAAGTAAGAACTCTTTAGAATGGTAGAGAATGTATTTATAATCAAGAGTAATGGGATGACACTGTAAGTTAAGTTCCCTCCATCTGAAAACCCATCTGGTGTGAGAAATACAGTATTCTAGATAAAAAGAGCATACGTACCCCTACTCTGTACCTGCACGTGCTTTTACACAGGAAACTCTTCTGGGCAACATAACTCTTCTGGTTATTTATGGGGCAATTTACCCCATGTGCACTAACTGTGCTAACTACACAAATAATATTGCACAGCAAAAATAACTATAGACCAAATATTAGAAAAACAACTTCCTAAGAGAGATTACTAGGGAAAAGGTGACAGCCCCAACACTTGGAGGATTTAAAACTAGACTGGATAAAACACTGAAAAAATTACAGTAAGGAAAAAACCTGTAGTAACTTCCAGGAAGTAGACTGACTGATCTAATAAGTCTTTTCTATCTCTTAAATTCTATGGGTCACATTCATCTGATGTAAATCCACATTGACTTCTGAAGTCAATGGAGTCACACCACAAATTAACACATCTCTATGAATGTCTGAGTCGCTTGTCACAGTTCTGACCCAAATAAAAACTACTAAAGCTCACTCAAATTCATGTAAGAGAAATCTTATGCTTTTGAGTTTTTATAAATTTAAATTTTCAGTTGTGTTCTAACACATTTTAATTAATTGTCAGTTAATGAATAGAATTGTAGCTTCTTATTTAGTCACTTGTTTCTGTACGTGATGAATAAGGTTGTGAATCTTTCACGGAGGTCACAGATTCTGTGACTTTCCAGGACCTCCAGCTGCAGCAGCTGACCCGCAGTGGCCTCTAATCCAGCAACCCCAGGCAACTGATCCTGGGTGCTGTGCCAGAGCAGCAATCCCAGAGGGGCAGCAGTAGGGCTACCCTATGGCCTGGAGGGGTGGGCCCCCCCCACACCTTCCCCGGGAGCAGCAACATCAGCAGGGCCCTGGGCTGCCCCCCATCCCCAGAAGCAGCAGCATCTGTTGGAGCACCACCCCTCCACCCCAGCAGGTAAGATTTAGTTAACAATATTTTTAGTAAAAGTTACTGATAGGTCACTGGTGATGACTTTTTCGTTATTGCCTGTGACTTGTCCATGACTTTTACTAAAAATACCTGTGACTAAATCGTAGCCTTAGTGATGAACTAAGGCTACATTCAAAGTAATCCCCAAACCCATGCTATATATACATAGCAGTAACAAAAGGTGTGCATCCAGGGACGATTTGCAGCAACCAGGTAAAGAACAGTGTTCAATTCTGGTATTTCTATGCCAGAAACTTTGAGAACATCAACATAGCATACTGCAAGCAGAATAAGAAAATAAAGTTTTAAGCAATGCCACTATGATAAATCTCAAGTTTTGTAAAAATCTCAGGATTTTTCTACCTAGACAAAACCTTGATTTTTAAATGCTCCTCTCAGGCCCACACAACCAGTAAAAGGCATGGAATATGCTGCCAAAGGAGCAGCATTAATATACTGCAGATTTGAACCTGCAACCTTTATGTTAGCCTGCAATCCCTACTGGTTTGCCTGCTTCTTAGGCCAATGGACGAGAACCAGCTACAAAAAGTGCAGCGCGTTATACAAACAGTACATACTTCTAGCGTAGCAGATACAGCCAGGTGTTTCCCGTCCTCGGCCACCTGCGAATCTGCCAACTACACACCAAGAACCAGAGTCCCTTGCTAAGTCAGTACAAGGTGGACCCATCCTTCAGCTCGAAATGACGAACCTCAGCCATTGCTCGGGCAGTGACGTCTGGGCGAACTCTGCTGTAGTACCCCCGACCCCAGCGCATGGCGGAGGGGACCGCACACAGCCTACGGCTGTTCCCACTTCCCTGCTCCCCCGGGCGGACAGTCACAGCGGCCTTCCCCGTCCGCTCGGGGCCCCGCCGAAAGAAGCCAATGGGGATCGGGGCCTGCTCCTCGGCAGGGACCGGAACGGACCAGGGCCCGCTGTCAGGGTGCGGACTGACGGGGGCGCGGGGGCTGCGAGGCCCGGCCGAGTCCCCTCCCCGCCACACTGTGGGCCGGCGGCGCTGGGGTCCAGGCCCCGCTAGGCCCCAGCCGCCAGGCCGCTCCCCAGGCCCGCTCCCGGGGGGGGGTCTCCCCGCGGCCGGCTGCCCGGGCCGCTCCGCGCAGTGACCCGGGGCAGGCCCGCCCGGGTATAAATGCGGCTCCCTCCCTCTCCCCTCCTCACCATTGTGGTCCATGATTCGGCGCGGGGCACTGTGGGAGCGGAAGTCACCACGCCGGAAGCGCCTGGACAGCGGAAGCGGAAGCGGTGCTGTCAATGCCGCGGGGGGTCTGGTCAAGGGAGAACCGCAGTGAGCCGCGCGTGCCCAGGGGCCGGAGGGCCTCGCTTCGGTGGGCAAAACGAATAGGCCCTATGCAAGCTACAGCTCCCAGGGTGCACTGCGCAGGGCCGGGGACTGTCGCTACCAGCATGCTTTGCGGGCCCCACAAAGTCGGGACATTGACTCTTCATGGCCCTGTCGTGGCCCAGGGCATGCCGGGAGCTGGAGTCCCCTCATGAATTGTCTCCGCTGCGGCCCGCGGTGCCGGAGGTGCTCTGTTCCCAGAGCCCGCGGAGCGTCTGAGAAGGGCCCCGCCCTGCGAGACTCGGCCGCCTGGGAGCTCATCAAACCCCAGCCCCGAGCGGGCGGAGGCGGCGGTGCCGCCAGGCTGGGTGCTTTGCAGCGGCCTTGGGGGGTGCGAGCCTTTCCGGGTCCCTCCAGTGGCTCTTTCGAGCGTTTGTCCGCAGCTACGTGCTCTAGACGCGGGCTCTGGGTTCTGACTGAGTGAGGAGCGTCTCCCCGTGTCGCGCGGCTCCGGCACCTGGTGCACTATGGAAAACACCAAAGGTTGCAGGCCTGGCGATGAGTGAGCAACATGCCCCCCGAGGCTCACAGGCAGCGCTTCCCCAGGCTCCACATCTGCTTTCTCAACCAAGCCCCGGCCTGAGGGGGCCTGTAGCTCTTCTCTGACCTCACTGTGGCTTGTCAGCATCTTTCTGGTGTACACACACAGATATTTCCTTTGCAGGAGTCACCTAAGGGAATGTCACCAGCTAGCCTAGCTATGTGGTGCATCTGCAGCCTAGAATTAGGGCTGTCAATTAATCACAGTTAACTCAGGCGATAACGCCAAAGAAATTAACTCAAAAATAATTGCGCTATTCAACAATAAGGGAATACTAATTAAAATTTATTATAATATTTTGTATGTTTTCTTTCTTTTCAAATGTTTTCAGTTACAACATCAAATACAAAGTGAGCACTGTACACTCTATATTTTTATTACAAATATTTTCACTGTAAAAAAGAGAAACAAAATAAATAGTATTTTTCAGTTTACCTCCTACAAGTACTGTAGTGCAATCTCTTTATTGTGAAAGTGCAACTTACAAATGTAGAATTATTTTTTCCATATAACTAACTGTACTCAAAAATAAAACAATGTAAAACTATACAGAGCCTACAGGTCCACTCAGTCCTATTTCTTGTTCATCCAATCACTGAGACAAGTAAGTTTGTTTACATGTACAGGAGATAATGCTGCTCGTTTATTTATGTCACCTGAAGGTGAGGACAGGCGCTAGCATGGCACTGTTGTAGGTATATATGTTCCAAGGTATATATGTGCCAGATATGCTAAGCATTTGTATGTCCATTCATGCTTCGACTTGTAGATTGCACTACCTTTTGTTTCTTTTTTACAGTGCAAATATTTGTAATTAAAAATAATATAAACTGAGTGTGCTATGCTTCGTATTTTTTGTTGTAATTGAAATCAATATTTATGAAAATATAGAAAAACATCCAAAAATATTTATAATACATTTAAATTCTATTAACAGTGCGATTAAAACTGTAATTAATTGTAACTATTTTTTAACCTCGTGATTAACCGCAATTATTTTTTTTAATTGTTTGACAGCCCTACTTAGAATTAATGGCTTTTTTTTTGTTCTGCCACATTGCACTCATGTCTGAACTTGCTGTCTGGTCCTCACAACTTGGTGTCTTTCAGCATTTATACTTCCCATTTTTATCCCACCCGTATATGTGTGTTGGACTATTTTTCCTTGTATTGCATTGGCCTGGCTTTTTTTTTTCCAAATGTCTCACTTTGTTATTTTTCTTCCCACATTTCTTGTCCCTCTGGGCCCTCTTGTATTATTTCTCTGACCCTAACTTATATTTGCAGTGTCTAATTTTGTATAGAAATTCAGTAGGATACAGTCATTTGTCCATGCTTTGCCGTTATGGGTAGTAGGCAGGATGTGGAGCTTTCAAAAACCCTCTGCAGCCATAACAGGAGGAATGAGTTCTTGCAAGTGCAGGGGAAGAGAAAGAAGGGAGTGCTTAAATCTCTCCCAAGAGCCATGGGAAGCGGGTGAACTGGGCTCAGGGAGGCTAGCCCTGGCCCAATCCTTCTGCCTGGGGCCCTGCCCCCCATTCTCCCAACAGAGCTCAGAGGGCCCCCTCCCCAAGCACTCCCAGCTCTGGGTGGGTGGCACAGTCCCCAGTGACAGGCAGACAGGCGGCACAAGCACCGGCTTTGGCCACCCGGAGTCCCTAGCTGCAGGCCAGTCCCCTGCTAGCCCTAGCCATGGGGTAAAAGCCGCAGGGGCTAGGAGAAAGCAGGAGGAGGTCTGGGGGTGGGTGAGGTCATGCTGTTTGGGGAGACTCAGACTTCCCTGGCCTTTGATACCCACCGTCCATGATGGGAATCCTGGCCCGCAGCCAGGCCTTGGAGGAGTTTCAGTGTGTGGAGACATTTCCTGCACAAGATCGTTGAGAAATCACCATAAGGTCTACGGATGGTACTAAAGAGAGTGGCCACAACTGCAGAGCCACAAATCCACAGCAGCTGTTTTGCAGCTTTTAGGGGGCTCATGGCTGATGCTGTTTCCAGTCACCTGCTCACGAGCTGCCTGTGTTTTGATCTATCTAGGGGGCAAATTTTGCCCTCTGTTACACAGGTGGCCAATGTGTCACCCTGGAATAATAGATGGAAATTCTAGGATGTAAAGGATGTTATAACTGTAGGAGAAACTTAGCTTCTCACATAAGTGTATTGTAAATTCAGCTAAGGTCAAAATAGTAACAATTCCTATGAAATTCAATTCAGTGGGAGTCTTTCCAGTGACTACAGCCAAATCCAGTCTCCATTGAAGACCCTGCAATGAGGGAAGCTGGTGTGAAAGTGATAAATTTTCTGAGAACATTAAAAAGATAAAATCTGGGGGGAAAATAAGAATCCTATTTCCACATTGTGCATTTATTTCTTCCAGACAACATCTGACAAGAAGTAACGAGAGCAATACAGAGAAAAATAAATGCAACACTAAGGGGGTGGTTTTGAGTATGCGCAATTTTTATTCCTTAGGTCACTGACAACATTCTTTAAAATACAGTGCCTTTTCTAGAAGGTAAAAAGATTAATAAAATATCTATCTCTTTTCAAGGTAAACCTTTGACATACAGAGATCTAACAGTATTAATAGTCACAAAATGCTTAGAAAAATGCCATTCCTGTATTATGCTTGAAAAACAAGTATATCCAGCTGTGCTTTTGAAGGGTTTATGCATAAGTGCAAAGTTCTGCAGGGTTTTAGCCATATTGTAAAATACATTACTTTGGTATCCTTCATATAAAAACAAGTATGGCTCCTCTTGCATTCCACCCACCCCCCCCATTGAACAGAGGTATTTGAAATTTTCTTCATGATGTCTGTTCTTCTTCTTAGAGTTTGGATGGGTGTATTAAATTAAGAATGTAAGGGAAACCCATGAGAACATTCTTATCTGGATAACTGTAAATATATGTACTAGTAACTCAAAACAAATATAAACATGACTCAGATAATAAGTGTATATACATCCCATGCGTGTGAATAATTGTCCTATACCCCCATTCTGCATTAATTCATCCTGGTTAAAAAATAATATTTTAAAAGGAAAATGTATTTTTAAAATCCTTATATTTTATTATTACTCTTCTTAAATGCTAGGCAGCAAGAATGTGAGAGAGAGCCAAACCAAAATACTGGATCCAAAGCCATTTACATTTGAGGAAAGTTTGGATCAGGATTCAAACTTCATAGTGAAGGCCCATCTCTAGCAAGAAAAATATGTTCTAACAGTACCACTCTATTATTTTATTTTATTTCGTGATATTCCTTACTATATGTTCCTCAGAAAAATAAAAACCCAAGTGGCTTCTAACAATTTTCAAGTTAACCAAAATATTCAGTATTGTGTAAGTGGTTACAGTTTCTTTTATATAAAGGTATATCAAATGGACAACAGTTGATCAGAAGTAATGTTTCTGAGGGAAATTGGCCTGATCCTTCATTGTTGCACACACACAGCACTTCCATTGACATCAATGGATGTCAATTCTGCCACCATTTTCGGATCAACATACATAAGAATAGCAGAGTCAAGCTCTGAGCAAGTTTGTAATTTAGAGATCAGTCCTACAAGGTGCGAAGCACTCTAGTCTGACCCAATGAAGCACTAAACTCTTGAATAGTCCAATTGACTCTGCTCATGCTTAAATTTAAGTATGTGCTTGTGTTTTGCTGGATTGGATGAGAATGCTCAACACCTTGCAGGACTGAGCCCTTTGTACTTTTGAAAGTAGTAGCCTATTTGACTGCCCTGAAAACCCCTTATTTATCCATAGGTTAAGTACAGCATCACACTGTTACACCAGTGTTTCAGCTCTGCCAGAAAAAGGGCCATCTCTGGGTAAAGGCCCAGTCCAACTGTCGGTGAAGTCACTGCGGATCTATCAACTGACTTTAATGGAGGTTCAATGCGGTTCTTAGAGATATAATCTCTTAGTGCTTGGCTTCCCATCTGAGTCTGCCAATTAATGCCAGTTGTGATGGTGGTAATATTCTGTGTGCAATGTGTGTGTGGTTGGTCCCAGTTGAAATTTTGTCTGATACAGTGAAATAAAATTTGTAATTAAAGTAATTTTAAATATAGAATCATAGAATATCAGGGTTGGAAGGGACCTCAGGAGGTCATCTAGTCCAACCCCCTGCTCAAAGCAGGAAATATGAGAAGATACTAAAATGATCACAAAGTTTAGACCATAAATGTGATGTAATCTAGAAACCTATGGTTTGTAAGGACTACGTATGGTTTTTATTGCATGTTTTTTCAACATTGTATATTGGTAGTTGCCACAAGGAATTTCAGTTTTAAAAACTAATTTATTTACAATTTAATTTAATTTTTAATGTAACAATTTGTGTAATTCTTCATCTAAACATATATTCATTACATGGGAACAATCATTTCTTACATAGCCAATATAAAGCCTTAAAAACCAAAGTTAAAATGTTTTCTTGTAATCCTAAATTTTGTGTAAATTATTGCACTGGGGATTGTAGCATAACTTTTAAAAGTCCACATTTTTTAGAAGAATAGAAGCAGTTTGTAGAGTATTAAAAGAATGAAACAGTTTATGCAGCTAATTCTTCATTAAACCAATGATACTGTTACATCCCATTTCAAAAACCAAACTAGATATTAAGTCAGATCTTTACTCCAGTTTTATAGCAGCCTATTCCACAAATTCCGTGAACTTCAATGGGACTATTTGTAGAGTAAGGGAGTGTTCAGTCTATCCATGTTTAATTTCAGTAATGATTATTAACCAGGAGTGCATGAGTTACTAAAAATAGCACTAATGAACCAAGACTCTTAATAATCCTTCTTACTGAGCCTTATCCATGTATATGATTAACATTTTATAGCAATATAGTAAACAATTTTGAGTGAATAAATTTCATCTGTACTCCATTTCTGTTATATAAGGGATTTTTTATATTGAGACTGTAATGCTGCAACAAACCCAGGAATTATTTTGAATGACTAATAGATAGATTTTAAAGACGTGTGTTGTTGAGTGCAGCAGTGTTAACATCCTGGGAAACTAATTAAATGGGATTGCAGATCCTTTTGCAGGTCAGGGCCTAGGGCTACCATTGCCTATTGTTTCTCTTTTGTGAGGAATTTATTATTTGTATTACAGTAGCACCTTGAGGCCTACCATCAGGGTTGGAGCTCCATTGTGCTAGGCAGAATACAAACACATAAGAGACAGTTCCTGCCCTCAAGAAGAGTTTACAATCTCCTCAACCCCTGGGACTGGGTTACCATAAAGTAGCTATTTTTTCCTATATGCATTGATTATATGGGTTATATACACAGACCGACAAACCCTAAAGCTGGTTGCAATTTCTGTAATAGTTCTGATGATCTGCCTCCCATATCTTGCCAACATTGATACTATGAACAAATTTTTCTGATCAGACTTGACTATTTTAAGGATTACATGTCAACAGACAAAACTTGGAGATTTATAGAGCTCTGTAGAGTTCAGACAAAGAAATTAGTGTTTTCTTCAAGTGCAAAGACAAGTCCCAGTGCAGAAAATGCTTATATAGTATTGGTGCCTGAATATTGCCAGGGAGTCCAAGATATCCATAATAGTTTTCCTTCATGAAGCGAGTCTGCGCATGGCCTAATGAAATAAGTTTTGAAAGATGGGGAATTGTGAGAGGGAAATAGGTGATTAGTTCTGTGTACACACCATATTAAAAAAACAACAACAAATTTTGCATATATATTACTATACAACCAAGGGGTTCAGTCCTGGCTGACTGAGTCTGCCAGGAAATAATTTTAAAAGGCTGTAACCTGAAGCCATCTCTCTGGTTGGCAGCTTCATCACAGAAGTCAATCAGGGAGATGAAGTGAGCTTTGAGACCTGGAGATTACCACCTACACCCAGTAAACACTGGCTATCAAGCAGCTGGTTGAACCCTCACAAAACAGTCAGTCTTGAGTCAGGCTGTTTCTTTTTCAGTCCCTGAGGTAGCTTGAAAACGTTAGGGGTAAATTATGGCTTTTAAAACTGGCTGGTGCTTGGTGGATGGGGAGAGCAGTTTCAGGTAAAAGCATTAAGCCTTTGTAGGGTAGAAGCAGGCATAAAACCTTGAGGGTGCTGGAGGTAGGAATGTGTGAATACATGTGGCACCTGCTACACCTTCAAAAAAGATTCATTGTGACTTCCCTCACTAGCATTGACTGTTAGGTGCATAAGGAGGGCAGACTTTTGGCATCCCTCAACCCACTCTTTGGGTGTGCCACAGTCAATATTTTCCCTGGATCAGCCAGTCAGCTGCCAAAGGCTGTAGAGCTCACAAGGCTGTGGTGTTTTGGGTTTTTTTATATTTTTTTTATTTTTTCTTGGTTGGCCCCATATATCAGCACCACTCATATTGCTATAGTTCCGATAAAACAGCATACATCATAGACACATGCTTTATTTAATTAAAAGGATAGCTCCATACCTCCTCCTGAACATCAAGTTCATCATCAAGATTTCCTGTTTCTGTAAAATCTATTGGTTCCTTAGATTCCTGCATCAGTGAAATCTTAACAGAGAAGGTTAACAAGTATTGTGAACAAAATGAATGTTGCAACCATACCAATAAAGTTACTTGTAATTAACAAAATTATTCTTTTAGCTGTTGGGGTAGAGGCTTTTTATTTTGATGCTGAAGGCCCTTGGTTGTAATCCTGATGATGACTCACTGTCTATATATAGGTTTCAGAGTAACAGCCATGTTAGTCTGTATTCGCAAAAAGAAAAGGAGTACTTGTGGCACCTTAGAGACTAACCAATTTATTTGAGCATGAGCTTTCATGAGCTACAGCTCACTTCATCGGATGCATACCGTGGAAACTGCAGCAGACATTATCCATGTCCAGCACAAATCCAGGCTTTCTCACCCCCCCCCCCTTTTTTTTTTCCCGGGGACACACACACATACACAAACTCACTCTCCTGCTGGCAATAGCTCATCCAAACTGACCACTCTCCAAGTTTAAATCCAAGTTTAACCAAGAACGTCTGGGGGGGGGGTAGGAAAAAACAAGGGGAAATAGGCTACCTTGCATAATGACTTAGCCACTCCCAGTCTCTATTTAAGCCTAAATTAATAGTATCCAATTTGCAAATGAATTCCAATTCAGCAGTTTCTCGCTGGAGTCTGGATTTGAAGTTTTTTTGTTTTAAGATAGCGACCTTCAGGTCTGTGATTGCGTGACCAGAGAGATTGAAGTGTTCTCCGACTGGTTTATGAATGTTATAATTCTTGACATCTGATTTGTGTCCATTTATTCTTTTACGTAGAGACTGTCCAGTTTGACCAATGTACATGGCAGAGGGGCATTGCTGGCACATGATGGCATATATCACATTGGTGGATGTGCAGGTGAATGAGCCTCTGATAGTGTGGCTGATGTTATTAGGCCCTGTGATGGTGTCCCCTGAATAGATGTGTGGGCACAGTTGGCAACGGGCTTTGTTGCAAGGATAAGTTCCTGGGTTAGTGGTTCTGTTGTGTGGTATGTGGTTGTTGGTGAGTATTTGCTTCAGGTTGCGGGGCTGTCTGTAGGCAAGGACTGGCATCAAGGCAAGCCTGGATTTGTGCTGGACATGGCCCACCTTGATTACCATGCACATTGTAGGGAGAGTGGTCACTTTGGATGAGCTATTACCAACAGGAGAGTGAGTTTGTGTGTGTGGTTTTTGGAGGGGGGTGAGGGAGTGAGAGAACCTGGATTTATGCAGGAAATGGCCCACCTTGATTATCATGCACATTGTGTAGAGAGTTGTCACTTTGGATGGGCTACTATCAGCAGGAGAGTGAGTTTGGGGGGGGGGGGGGGGGAGGGTGAGAAAACCTGGATTTGTGCTGGAAATGGCCCAACTTGATGATCACTTTAGATAAGCTATTAGCAGCAGGACAGTGGGGTGGGAGGAGGTATTGTTTCATGATCTCTGTGTGTATATAATGTCTGCTGCAGTTTCCACGGTATGCATCCGATGAAGTGAGCTGTAGCTCATGAAAGCTCATGCTCAAATAAATTGGTTAGTCTCTAAGGTGCCACAAGTACTCCTTTTCTTTTTGTCTATATATATGCAGCCATAGGTTAGTTAAAATGGTATGAAGTCTTTTTTAAATACTGCAGAGTAACTCCTCCAGAATCTGATATGACCAGCAAAAATGACCAAAAATTCAGGGCCCCATACTGCTGTATTTGTGAGGAGAGTCACAAAATTTGAAGGCCCCCGGTGGAGTGTATGGCCAATCAAGGCTGCATATTTAAGATGGATGTAGGCAGAGCCGGTGCTAGGCATAAGCAGACTAAGCAATTGCTTAGGGCCCTGAGCAGCTCAAGGGGGGGCCCCCAATTAATTATTAGTGTGTTTAGGGGGGCCCAAAATATTCCTTCTTAGAGCCCCCAATGGGCTGGCACTGGATGGAGGTAGAGTTAGAACTTTAGGGCTTCCTTGTAATGTGTGGAGGATTTGAATCAATCTGTTCAGTGTTCTGAAGTTTCTCTTAGGAATTGCAGGGACCACTGGTTCACTATATGTTTGTGTTGTTGCAGAGGCGATGTGGGGCAGGGGCATGGGCATGTGGGGTCATATCACCCACACCCCCAATTTGTTGCTTGGTTGGACTGAGCATGCTCACATGGGCTGCTGAACCCAGTTGCCCTCACTCTGCCCCCCTCTGCCCCCACATCGGTAGGCACAGATCATCTCTGGCTGGGCCTAGCACAATGGGACCTCAACCTGCACTACTGCCATATAAATGATACATAGTAATTAATACTCCTCTAAACAGTTAGAAAAGATCTGCAGGCCATCAAATATATAACACAAGCTGTCCAGTTTATAAGCACCTTGTGTGAACATTTTTTGCTTTTTTTAAACAACTCTTCAACTAGTTCCTAAAGCTTTTTCCCTTTATCACAAATGGTGAAAACTATTTACAGCTAGTGTATGATGCAGAAAAATAATGATATATGGTCCTCACCTTTTCAAAAATAGGATCCTGGATGTCTCTGTGCATCATTTCATGCTGTATGTAAAGCACAGCATCATGGACAGTCAGGAAGAATATGTCTTTTCTGATGTTATCATCAAAGAAGCCACATTGTTCCAGCTTTGTTATAATGTTGTCTGAACAAAAAAACAAAGTTATAAAAGACTGATAAATTTGAAAATAATTGAAAAAATAAGTGTCAAAATAGAGATTAACAATTACCAACAATAAAATGTATAGACCTATAATTCTATCATAGTGGGTTCTCTCTACGTTAATTTCATTTCTCCCCAAGACTCCTTTGTATGCCTGCAGACATAGCCAGATGCAGTTTAACTATTTATTTGTTTAAAAGAGCAGTTCAGTTCACTTTTAACTCTATTCACTAAAAAAGTACTTCCACAGATACAATCCACAGATCCTTTATTATTTTTATTCTATCCTTCTTGGGGTGTATTAGTGATAATAGATATATGGTTACCTTGATGTGATGCAATGTATACAGTCACATCAATTCTCTCGAACTCTTTAACTATCTGGAAAAAAAAGGGGGTGGTTTGCAATAAACATTTTCTTATACACACACATTTAAGAAACAGTATTTGTATTCACAAAGATTAGTTACATTTTTCATTTTCCTTTAAGTATTTGCATCACAATCCCAAATCATGTGTTCTTTTATTCATAGGAACATAGGAATTGCCAGACCCAAATTCCATCTACTCCAGGATGCTGTCTGTCAGTGGCCAGACTTTGATTATGAAAGGCAAAGCTGACAGTGCCATCTATGATTATAGTTGCATGACACTATGGACATGCTCTGAGAATGAATTGGGGTTGTGCAGTACAGATGGTTGTCTGTGGCAGTGGTTCTCAAACAGAGGTCCGGGGCCCCTTGGAGGGGGCCATGAGAGGGATTCAGGGAGTCTGTCAAGCAGGGCCAGCATTGGACTCATTGGGGCCCAGAACAGAAAGCCGAAGCCCCACTGCATGGGTCTGAAGCCTGGAGCCCTGAGCCCTGTCATCCAGGGTTGAAGTCAAAGCCTGAGCAATAGTTTCATGGGGGGCCCCTGTCATGTGGGCCCCAGGCAATTGTCGTGTTTGCAACCCCCAATGCTGGTGTTGGCTTTTATATGCAGAAAAAACAGTTGTTGTGGCACACATGGGTCATGGAGTTTTTATAGCATACTGAGGGGGGCCTCAGAAAGAAAAAGGTCGAGAAGCTATGGTCTGTGGGACCCCTCCCTCATTTGTTGCAGAAGTTGAAAGATGCAGAGTGAATAAGGCAGAGGATTACCAGAGCAGAAAAGAATTTTTTGCGGGTAGTTACTAACTGTTTGTTCCTCATTTGCTGGATGTCCAACTTAATAACCTGGAATCTGAATTGCAGAAGTGCTGACCACTCAGGAACTGCAGTTGAAGTCAATGCTTCGAACATACCCAGTGCTATATAATGCTACATTCTCTGAAAAATCAGGTCCTATGTGTCACATATTGGTCACCCACAATTAGTGGATACTTTTCATCTTAATCTCTCTGTGCCTCAGCTCCCCATCTGTAAAATGGAGCTAATACCCCTCATCTCACAGGGGTGTTGTGAACGTACATTGATTAACATTAGTGTACTCAGATACTATAGTAATGAGTGCTAAAGAAAAGTCCATGAGGAAATTAATAATTTTGTCTTCATGGCAAGGTCTGAATAGTGTGCAGTAAATAAGGCATGAGGCCACACATTGAACAATGAGAATAAAACAAATTATTGAATAGCTTCTCTTTAAGTGAGCGCTGGGCATCCTGTGCACTGATTGAAGCAAGGGTCCCATGGAAAAATATTTGATCATGTAAATTAAAGATAGTAACAATGCATAGGCACCAGGAGGCCAAATTAAGGTTGCACAGGCATTCTAATGCTGGCATTTTCTAATGTTTAAGTGCTTGTCTTTACAATCTTAATAATGTTTTTATTATAGTTTTTTTGTATCTAATTTATAAATAGACCAAAATCTACCTGTTGTTACAGAAATATTAAAGATATGTCACAAACCAACATACACTGGGAAACTCAAAGTTAATTTCAGCCAACCTGTCCCTAATTAACATACCAATGACTAATACTGGATAGGAAAAAAATAAAAAGACTTACCATTTTCATTGTTCTCACAGCTACAACATCCAAGAATGATACACCTCCAAAGTCAAAAATTAAACTGTGGATAGGCACTCTGGGGACATTCACTTTGACTGGGAGTTCTGAATTCCAGTCCACGTGGATCTCTACTTCTTTGGTTGGAATGTTAAGATCTTCAGGATCATCAAGATCTTCATCAGACTCAAAAGCTTCATTGGTAGCCCCAGAATCACTGATGCCATTCTAATCAGAACAGATAATATAAGAAATATATAACTTAATCGGGGACAAAGATTTTGGAATTTTTCCATATTAGCTTGTTTAAGCAATAATGGTAGAAGCATTTTTTCCTCATTTCTTCACATATGACTGATCCTGCACTAAATGACTTAAATGGAAACAAGATTGAGCCAATAATTAGCACTTCTCCCTGCATGCAGTGTATTTTCTTTCCTGTTTTGTTGTTGTTCATTAAGGGAGGAGAGCCATATGGGAAAACCACTGTCCAGAAAACAACTCATAGACTTTAAGGTCAGAAGGGACCATTATGATCATCTAGTCTGACCTCCTGCACAATGCAGGCCACAGAATCTCACCCACCCACTCCTGTAACAAACTCCTGACCTATGTCTGAACTATTGAAGTCCTCAACTCATGGTTTAAAGACTTCAAGGTGCAGAGAATCCTCCAGCAAGTGACCCCTGCCCCACACTGCAAAGGAAGGCAACCCCCCCGCCCCAGGGCCTCTGCCAATCTGCCCTGGAGGAAAATTCCTTCCCGACCCCAAATATGGCGATCAGCTAAATCCTGAGCATGTGGGCAAGACTCACCAGCCACACACCCAGGAAAGAATTCTCTGTAGTAACTCAGATCCCAACACATCGAGTGTCCCATCACAGGCCATTGGGCATATTTACCGCTAACAGTCAAAGATCAATTAATTGCCAAAATTAGGCCATCCCATCATTCCATCCGCTCCATAAACTTATCAAGCTTAGTCTTGAAGCCAGATATGTCTTTTGCCTCCACTGCTCCCATTGGAAGGCTATTCCAGAACTTCACTCCTCTGTGGGTTAGAAACCTTCGTCTAATTTCAAGTCTAAACTTCCTGATGGCCAGTTTATATTCATATGATGGCCAGTTTATATCCAAGCTTCCACTTGAGAACCTCACCCTATAGAATCTTTAGGGTTGTTGTTTTTATTTTTGAATTATATTTATTACATTTGTTGCAATAACAATCCAAGGGTCAAGAGTTATTGTCACTTAACTGAACATTTCATCATATAAACTTGAAAGAAAACAAAAATCTAGCATCCTGCAGTATAATATCTGGCAAAAATTGACACTTAGTCCTAACCTTCAAATGTGGGGACTTCAATAGGACATCTACAGTCCACATTTGGACACTCATATAAGCACTTAATGATATAAATGGCTATTTTACACATAGCGTGATAAATGTTGCCCCATTTAAGCAGCTGTGGAATGCCCTGTTGGCAGGAAAACCAATGCAATTCTTCTGCATATAGGAGGCAAGATATAAGGAGCCTGTGTAAGGGATTTGCATTCTCGGTGCACCAGAATGCAGCTCTGAAGGGACTGCCAGTCTCTAACTTCGTAAAACAGGTGTAGGGATGAGAAGGAGGAGTAAAGGAAGGACCAGGTAATCCACTGCGTCCAGATCCACTGGCCTTTCTCTCCCCTCCCCAACATACTGTGGGCACAGCTGCCAATGGTCACTCCAACCTCAAGGCTACAGTAGCAGCCATGGAGGAGTTCTACTGTTGCCTGCATGCTGGAGGGAAAGGATTTCTTTTCCCCAGGCCCTGAAAATACTCAAGGGTAGAGTTCACTAGATGGGTCAAGTTCTGAAGACGAGGTTCAAACTGACACCTCATATTTGTGATTTGATTATCCTCTTCAGGTGCCCATGTTTGAACATACTGCCCGTTATCAGGAGAATTGTCCAGTGAGTTAAACATGTTATCAGCAGTTAATGGCTCCCCTCCCTAATGTGTACTAATTAGATGCATTTTGACTCTGAAGCAGCCATGATGTTCTATAAACGTTCCATGTTGCAATGGTTTATTATGGAGCATTGATCTTTATTGCACCTTGATACACCTCAAAGCATTTAGATGCAGCACTGGATGGTTACGGCTCTCTGTGGACCAAGAGGATCTCCTCTCCCTAGTGATCGTAGGTGTACATCCACTTACCAGACTTAACACTATGTGTACATTGCCCTTTCTGTGTAATCCTGGATCTCTCACACATTCACATCCCAGTGCCAGGGACTTCCCCTTCCCAGAATATCACCAAAAAGAGAGGTGAGTGAACAATACAGTCATATCACAGTGAATGATATCAGAGTGCACTATGCTACACAATTGTGCACCTTGAGCTTCTCAGTGATTATCTGAGGCTGGTGAATGGATACATATTCACAGGTCCTTTCCTACACCCACCTATATTTCACCCAAACATAGAGATTTCCAACTCTGTGGCATATGGTACCTGGTGCACAGCTCAAATAGTTTTTCTGAATGTGGAAGTATCTGGGCAACATAGGCTGGAAAAAGAATCTCCACTCTCCATTTCAGTATGTATCACAAACTAAATGATTACATCAAAACAAAGGGTCGAGCTTCTTGCCACTTGCATTATAATAAGAACATAAGCATTGCCATACTGGGTCAGACCAATGGTCCATCCAGCCCAGTATCCTGTCTTCCAACAGCGGCCAATGGCAGGTGCTTCAGAGGGAATGAACAGAAGAGATAATCATCAAGTCATCTATCCCCTGTCACCCATTCCCAGCTTCTGACAAACAGAGGCTAAGGACACTTCAGAGCAAGGTTTTGCATCCCTGTCCATCTGGGATAATAGTCACTGATGGACCTATCCTCCACGAATTTATCTAGTTCTTTTTTAACGCTGCTATAAGTCTTGGCCTTCACAAACATACTCTGGCAAAGAGTTCCACAGGTTGACTATGCATTGTGTGAAGAAATACTTCTTTTTCTTTGTTTTAAACCTGCTGCCTATTAATTTCATTTGCTGACTCCTAGTTCTCGTGTTATAAGGAGTAAATAACACTTCCTTATCTACTTTCTCCATACCAGTTATGATTTCTATAATTTATCATATGCCCCCGTAGTTGTCTCTTTTCAAGGGTGAAAAGTCCCAGTCTTAGTCATCTCTTCTCGTATATAAGCTGTTCCATACCCCTAATCAGTTTTGTTGCTCTTTTCTGTACCTTTTCCAATTCCAATATACCATTTTTGAGATGGGGCAACCAGACCTACATGTAGTATTCAAGATGTGGGCGTACCATGGATTTATATAGAGGCAATATGATAATTTCTGTCTTATTATCTATTCCTTTCTTAATGATTCCCACCATTCTGCAGAATTATTTTGTTTTGAACTGCTATTACAGCCAGAAGGTAGGGGGAGCTGCCTCCCTATGACTCACAGCCAGAGGGCTGCACCCCATGCTCCAAATCAGCAATACAGCAATGCCTACAGCGAGAGAAGGATATCTGGGACAAGAGAGGTGCCCACCCTTGCCCTAAGGGTGCATCTTAGAAGTACAATCAATGACATGGTGGAGAATGCAAGCATTCACTTCCTAAATCTGACACAAGGGTAAACTGGGGAAGATTGAAAGCCCATGCATGTTAGCTTTTTAGACTGCCACTGCACATTGAGTGGATGTTTTTATAGAACTATCCACAATGACTACAAGATCTCTCTCTTGAGTGGTAAGAGCTAATTTAGACCACATCATTTTATGTGTATAGTTGGGATTATGTTTTCCAGTGTGCATTACTTTGCATTTATCAACATTGAATTTCATCTGCCATTTTGTTGCCCAGTCACCCAGTTTTGTGAGATCCTTTTGTAACTCTTCGCAGTCCACTTTGGACTTAACTATCTTGAGTAGTTTTGTATCATCTGCAAATTTTATCACCTCACTGTTTACCCCTTTTTCCAGATCATTTATGAATACGTTGAATAGGACTGGTCCCAGTATAGACCCCTGGGGGACACTATAATTTATCTGTCTCCATTCTGAAAACTGACCATTTATTCCTACCCTTTGTTTCCTATCTTTCAACCAGTTACTGATCCATGAGAGGATCTTCCTCTTATCCCGTGACAGCTTACCTTGCTTAAGAGCCTTTCATAAGGGACCTTATCAAAGGTTTTCTGAAAATCTAAGTACACTATATCCACTGGATCACCCTTGTCCACAAGATTGTTGACCCCGTCAAAGAATTCTAGTAGATTGGTGAGGCATGATTTCCCTTTACAAAAACCATGTTGACTCTTCCCCAACAACTTCTGTTCATCTATGTGTCTGACAATTTTGTTCTTTACTATTGTTTCAACCAGTTTACCCGTACTGAAGTCAGGCTAACCGGCCTGTAATTGCCAGGATCACCTCTGAAGCCCTTTTTAAAAATTGGCATCACATTAGCTATCCTCCAGTCATTTGGTACAGAAGCTGATTTAAATGATAGATTACAAACTACAGTTAGTAATTTTGCAATTTCACATTTGAGTTCCTTCAGAACTTTTGGGTGAATACCATCTGGTCCTGGTGACTTATCACTGTTTAGTTTATCAATTTGTTCCAAAACCTCTTCTAATGACACCTCAATCAGGGACAGTTCCTCAGATTTGTCACCAAAAAAGAATGGCTCAGGTTTGGGAATCTCCCTCACATCCTCAGCCATGAAGACTGATGCAAGAATTCATTTAGTTTCTCCACAATGGCCTTATCTTCCTTGAGTGCTCTGTTTGCATCTCAATCATCCAGTGGCCCCACTGGCTGTTTAGCAGGCTTCTTGCTTCTGATGTACTTAAAAAAAATTTGCTGTTACTTTTTGAGTCTTTGGCTAGCTGGTCTTCAGATTCTTTTTTGACTTTCCTAATTATATTTTTATGCTATAGGGAGTCCATTAAGAAATATATCCACCTAGCCTTCTGAACATCTAACACAACCCAGTCTGCTGTCTTTTGGGTGAATGTTGCCACCTTCTGGGAACACAGCTAAACATTCTCTTTGCTACACCAGCATAGATTACCACTAAGTCTAGTTGCCTCCAGTGGCCTGATGCATGGTTTTCACCCCTACCTTCCCAAGTCCCATGTAGGGTCCATACTTCCTATAACAGTGATCTGTCAAAACTATCTCTTTTTTATTTTAAAAATAAAATACATGGAAGCTTATATCACATCACTGTGAACCAAAACAAAGCCAGCTTGCCTTATATAGACCTATTAGCCATGACAGTAACCCTTTAGCAAAGAGCAGAATAAAAAATTAAACTTTACCTTAGTTGCTTTTAATTTTCCCTTCTTGATCAGTTTCTGTATCATCCTCAGTGCTTTGAGCCTCTTGTTATGCACGCGAACTGCATCAAACCCCACCTATAGAAACCAGGACCAAGTTATCAAAATTATTTTTGTTTTATCTAGGCAAACAGCTGTAGAAATTCCAAAGCCAATTAAATAGCAAACCTCCAAAATCATCGTAGACTACTTACAGTGGATTTCAGGCTGCTTTTCAATCCATCTATATTAGCATAAAAAATAGGACTGGAAAATCTGAGAATCTTCACTCCTTCTGGTTCAACAACCTGTTGTCAAAATAATTTCAAGGTCAAGCATGTATATTACATTTATCTAATTAACAGCAGCACCCAAACTTAGCCTACTAGAGCATCAGTTTGATAACTTGCCAAGAATCCAAGTAGGCACTAATTTATATAAAAATGAGCTGATTGCTAGCTATCTTCACTTTTAATATAAAGTTTTAGCTCCCAGAAACTATAGTTCCCAGCATGCAATGTGGTCTGACCACTTGGCTCCAGATGGAAGTTTTTACGCCGAGACCCATTATCTTCAGGAGCTGTGCTTCCATATTAAACGTGAGAGCAGCTGCAAGGTAGAACTCTGTACTTCACTTTGGATTGCAGGCTGCCATTAGGAAAATAACCAGTCAGAAACACTTACCATTTTGTAGTCCTTGACGTTCTTGTAGAGGTCTGTGCCAGGAACGTTCCCAAGGCCACCCCAGGAGGGACTAACAGAAACAAAAACAAAACATGGTGTCAAATTAACATCCAGTTGAGGAACTTATAACATGGGATGACTTGTTACATATAACCTTTTACAGAATGGTGAGAATCAGCAAACTGAATAGCCCCAGCAGGAGGTTGCACAGGGAATTCCCTTGGATATAGCAGGTCCTTGCTTGGATGTGATGCACTTTGGTCTATGGTGGCTCAAGCAGTCAGTATGATATCATACTGACTGCACCACTTTTAACCACTTCCTGACAGCAAAGCTATGGACTGGCTTTGATGTCAGCTTTGCTTTCTGGATTCCAGGCAGAAGGAAAGGTGTTATCTTGTATATTCAGCCAGAAAACTGGGAGAGAGTTATGAGATGGCTGAGCAGTGGAGCAACATCCTGTGAAAGTCACCCATCACCTCTATTCAGTCTCACTTATTCTTCCACATGTTTGCTCTCATCCATGCTAGGCAGTGAGGGGAACACCAGAGCCGTAGTCAACAGCTAAAATGTGAACCTTGGAATAGAATCTTAAAGCAGCAATAAAGTGGGGGCAGGGGGAATAGTCACACAGCACACATATGTCTGCACATGTCTTCTACTCTACAGATGCCTTATAATGACATCCAGAATAAGTAGCTGCTGAGAATGTTACTTGCCAAAATGTTGTCTGTCTCAACATGTGTCTGTCTCCCTCCCCACAATGTTCTATACTCAGTGAATAGTAATTGATAAAGTATAGCTACTCGTATAACTTCTTATACTTTATTTTGAATGCTTCCATCCCTTTTAAGATCTCTTATGGGTACCTAAATGACAGATGGCCAGGTAAAAAACAGAGTAGATCAATCACAAAAATGATGCATGCCTCGTTTACATCAATGTGACTACAACACAGTACCTTCTGGCTTTGGAATCTATGAACACTCTCATAGAAACAGAAGGGTAGATTTTCTTTCACTTCAAAATCATGGTCAATATGATTGATTTTCAGACATAAATTCTCTCCTTTTCTCTAAATTCCCTTACTTTTCATGGTATAGCACTGACAGGTCTTGCTGTTTCTGTGTTACTTACAACTGAACTCTCACCACAACTGTCAGTAATCCGAATACAAGGCCAGCAAGTAATCCCAAATCAAGACCCAGAATGATGGATGCCACACATGTGAAAATCCAGATCATCTAGAGAGGAAAGAACAAACACAGTGTCTCTGAATTAAAAAGAAAATAGCTTCTGATCACAGAAGAAAATCACTGCACCAAATCACTGCACCAAATAATAATAGCAACAAAAGAATTTAAGCTTGAAGATGGTCAAAATACCCAAATTATGTGCTGACTTCTATATTAAACTCTTCCTTTATTTCCAAACTAGCTTTGCCCATCTTTGCTTCGTTTATTATTCGTATTTGGTGTTCAGGCAATAAATTATCAAGCTATTCTAATGTAATGAAGTCTAGCAGAAACTCAGTTATCCCTTGTACAGTTAAAGAGGATGCAGTTTCCCATTGTCTTTATTTCTCTCCAACAGCAGCTATTTTTGTTATTTTTACTCCAGGAATTTGAAGCAATGTATTTCCCCAAGAACCTAATTTGTTGTAGGAAGACAGTCTGCCCTCAGATGTGTAGTGGCAAAGGAGGGGTCCCACTTATTTCTGGGAGAAGGATCTGTACCACAAATGGGTAGTATTTCACATAAACCGGGTGGGGAAGGCGGGGGGACAAACATTTTGAAGTCTGTGCTGCCTACTTGAGCTAATTCCTGAACTCTTTACTCAGTCATAGCTCAGAAACTCCCATTGGACCCAACCCTGTGAGGTGCTGAGCACCATCAGCTCCCATTGAAGTCAATGAGGTTTTTACCCAAGAAAAGGACTAAGTAAAAATTGAGTAAGGACTTTGGGATTTGGCTACAGACAGGGCACTGTTCACAGGCATTCATGAGAAAATCTTTGCATATCAGAGATTATGTGCAGTTTGTGGCCTGCTCCACAGAAACTCCAATAAGAAATATGAGGGGTGCCTTGGGATGAGATTATAGGGGTCTGAGGGCACAGTCTAGATGTAATTGTGCATACGTCCCTTGACACACCAAGGGCCCCTATGCACACATTCCAGCACAGATAATTGCTGCTCCAAGCAAGAAAAAACATTTATTTGGTGAGGACTGTGATGCTATTGGTCCAGGCATGGTCCACACTAATGTTGTTGTTGCAGGCTATATGGGAACATTTGGGGACTGGTTATGCATTGGTTCAGAATCTGAATATAAGGGGCCAGATTCTCTCATTCAGCCAAACTGTGCTCAGCAAAAGACGAGAGTGGGGTGGTAAAAGTGACTTCAGGCTGTCTTAACATTAATCTGCAGCTCAGCTGAATGAACTAGAAGGCAGCTGTAAACTTTGCTAGTTGTTAACAGGAAGGGATGGCCAATACACAGAGATACCTGATCAAGCCCCCTTTCCTCTAGACACACCCCTTCCAATGGGAGACTCGGAATGAATGTGATAAAGAAGCTGCCACAAGTGCCTCCTATACGGGAGGAAATTTTCACTGGCTCGATCTGGTGGCTTTAGGGCAGTTTTGTGTTGGGAAACTAACACAAAACTGCGTTAATGGACCAGATAATCTGTCTTAAAGTCTTTTGGTGTTAACAACACAAAATTCTGTTTCTGTTAACAAACTGTGGAAGTTATGAGTAAATTGGGTGGGGTTAAAACAAAAAGACAACTAGACCCAAAACATGTAGGAAAAAAGTAAATGACTTACAGCATCAGCCTTATTCTGCCTCCACAGACGAGGAACATCAAACACCTGCATGAACATCCCTTTCAAGTTGGCAATGACAACAGCTGCCAACACAGACTGCAAAAAGAGATTGTGAAAACTGGGTTGTTCAGAAGAGAGAACACATTGTATGTTTTCGGTCTAGTTTTCTGGTTATTAAGTAAATTAAAATTGTACACTATGAGCCAGATAGTCCTCTGGTATAAATCAGCACAGTTCCACATGGAGCTGCTACTCCAATTTATACCAGCTGAGCATATGGCCTAAATGGTGCAGTGGTAAGAGTGCTAGATAGGAGAAGCATCATACCTTCTGTAAGGGCTCTAGCAGTTTCCCCAGAGCCACAATGGCAATCAGTACAATCCCTGCTGAGATTATGCTAGCAACCTGCAAAGAAGACAGTAGTGTTGATATGAAACAAGTATTTTTAGACTCTCTGCTATGTTTTCAAACTCACTGTGAATAATGCATATGTTGGTATATTTTATATTTCTTTGTAAACAAGGAGACCTGTTAAAATATTTATTATGTTTAAGCATACACGGCCAAATCCAGAAACAATTCAACTATATAAGGTGATTAAGTCTCATCGGTCCATGTAAATCACCACACACAAATTAGTACCTTGGGAAAGGTTGACTTTGTGTAAGGGAAGAGGGGAAAATCCACACCAGTTCCATATTTCTACCTGCTACTTGCCCTCTGAATGGCCCTACTATTAAATAAATAGTGTATAGTTGTTATGTAAAGTGTAACCCATACTAGGAAAGTCTTTGTGTCCCTCTAGTGGCTGGTCCACATAAGAAGTTTGTGAGTGTTACAGGTTCCGTTTGCAGTATTCCAGCCTTTAGCTTCATGTGTTTAGCACTACACAGCCTGCGTTCAAATCCCACTGTCAGTCCAACCAGGGTCATACACACAAGCATATTGGAGTTAACCCTATGTGAAGTCTGTGCCCTATGCAATATTAAACTGAAATATCTTTAAAATTAATAGTAAAATAAACCCATTACCTGGGTTTTCCCACCAGTGCTTTCCTGGACAGCAGTACGTGACAGAGCGGTGGTAGCAACAAAACAAGAGAAAGCTCCTGCAAACACATTGCTGATTCCATAGGCAATAAATTCCTAGAACAAGATTAGATGATGATGTAAATGTAGATTTGGAACTAGGGGTGCTGAGGTAGCAACAGCCCCTGGTTTGAAGTGGTTTCCATCATATACAGGGTTTAGAGTTTGGTTCAATGCCTCTCAGCACCCCTACTATAAAAGTTGTTCCAGCACCCCTGTTTGCACAGCAAAGATAATACTTCCTTATAGGAGCCTGTAAAGTGAGAAGTACAGTAGGCATGCAGAAAATACTGGATTCGTTACAACAGTTGCTGTTAAGTATTTTAGAGCTGATCTGCACACAGTTTTTTTTTACTGATTTAACTACATCATCTTAAAAACCAATATAGTTAAATTGGTGCAATCCCCTAGTGTGGACACAGTTGTACCAGTATAAAGATGCCTATGATGGTATAGCTTAATTCCATAAATTTACCAATATAAGCTATCTAAATATAAGCATTTTATACCAGTATAACGGCATCCATACATGGGGGTTGTACAGATTTAAATATATCAGTTTCTAAACCAATATAGTTACACTGGTACAAAAACTGTTTAGATGAGCCCTTAGTTTATGTAAAAGGTTTTGCTACCAGGGTAGGATCTTGAAGCCAGATCCTTAAATAGAACAGACCTAGATGATCCACATAGATTTCGACACAACTTTGCTCTGGAAGAAGATGCTAGAGATAGATCAGTGACTGTTACTATTGTTAAGTTTGAAAATCTATGAGTCTATTAAAACAAATTATCACTAGCCCTACCAAATTCACAGTCCATTTTGGTCAATTTCACGGCCATAGGATTTTAAAAATGAGTTCAGCTATTTAAATAGGAAATTTCAGAGTGTTGTAATTGTAGGGGTCATGACCCAAGAAGGAGTTGGGGGGGTCACAAGGTTATTGTAGGGGGGGGGGTTACGGTGCTGCTACCCTTACTTCTGCACTGTTGCTAGCAATGGCGCTGCCTTCAGAGCTGGGCAGCTGGAGAGCGGCGGCTGCTGGCCGGGAGCCCAGCTCTGAAGGCAGAGCCACCGCCAGCACCAGCGCAGAAGTAAGGATGGCATGGTTTGGTTTGGCCACCCTTACTTCTGCATTGCTGCTGGCAGGGCGCTGCCTTCAGAGCTGGGCACCTGGCCAACAGCCACCATTCTCTGGCCACCCAGCTCTGAAAGCAGCACAGAAGTAAGGTTGGCAATACTGCAACCCCCCCTAAAATAACTTTGTGACCCCCCCTGCAACTCCCTTTTGGGTCAGGACCCCCAATTTGAGAAACACTGGTCTCCCCTGTGAAATCTGTATAGTATAGGGTAAAAGCACACAAAACACCAAATTTCTCAGGGGGAGACCAGATTTCACAGTCCATTATGAGTTTTTCATGGCCATGAATTTGGTAAGGCCCTAATTATCACAGATGAAAGAAGGTAACTAATCCTCCCTCAAACCTTGTTTCATTGCCTGTTTTTATGCTGTTATTATTTTTCACTCATCTAATTTAAGTAGACTAGTAATCTAGCTTTCTTTCTAGGACTTTCTGTTGTTGAATGTTTGCCAGGTATAGTATTAGGACTAGAAGGAATATAATTTTGTTTGATTACCAATCATTCAGCTACTGTAATCGCTACCTAATGTCTTCTGGAACAGGGCAGTGCAGGTAGAATGTTGAAAACAGTACATGCAGCTGCACTACCCACTTAGCCTTATTAAACTGCAAGTGAGGACATGTTAGGCAACCATCATTTAAAGTGTTTCCCAATGTGAACATTGTGTATTATAGCTTCACAATACACAGTGTCCAACATAGAGAAGTCTCCTCTCATAATTCACATGCTTAGAGGGCCAATTTGGTTACTTAATAAATAAAAATATTTCTAAAATCAGATATATTGTAATTAGGGCATTATTCATTAGTTGTAAAGGACAGAGAGACCAGTTAAACAACATGCTTGGTTCATTTTTTGTAGCAAATATATTTTTCCCACATATTCAAAGGATGCAGTACATGTTCAGCATGGATAGAGGAGACAAAGGTAGCTCTAAGCCATTTCTTCATCTCCCTTGATCCTAGGAATAGAGACAGTTTGAGAAACCACAGGGTTTGTCTACACAGTTTGTATGACACTATAACTAACTTGGTTTAGAAATGGCTATAGTTAAAGCAATACAACCCCAACGTCGTAGTATGGATGAAGTTATAGTGGTATAAACTAGCACAGCTTACACCCATACATTTACAGGAGTAAGCTGTACGGACATAAGCACATTAATACCAGTATAACTGTGTCTACACTAAGGGATGTGCCAATTTAATAATACAGGCATAAAATCATACTCCCAACAGAAAGAGTTAAATTGGTACAAAAACTAAATGTAGGCCACGCCTAACTTATGCTGACTGGAGTGGTCTTCCAGGTACTGATTCACCAGCCCAGCATTGCCCCTCCCTACCACCAGCCACCTCAGAACACTCTCTATGCAGAGAAGTGGAAGCAGGCCACATAAAGTCAGTTATTCCAGCTTTACATTACCACAGAATTCCCCTACGTAATGGTTATCCCAACTGCCTCTTGAGAGCAGTTTTCAGTGCCTTGATGTCACTGGAACAACACAGAGGAGATTAACTAGGACTGAGGCTCTGGTTCAGTATCTTGGGTAGCTCACACCACTCTCATCTCTATGTATCACTGTATCACAGGACCATATCTTATCTGCTTTTTCAAATAGTTTAATTAATTTCACATAGGAGAGTTTCACTTGTGTCTGATAAATCTGTATAATTTCTTTTCCAGTTTGGACATATAAGCATCCTTCATGCCCAAATTACATTTAATTAGTTTTTAAATTAATTGGGTTTCATATACCTGGTTTCCATCAATAGAATAGTCATGTTTCGTTGCATAGACTTTTGCCACAGACACAGCAATAGCATAAGCGACCACAGCAATGGAAAATGCGGCTGCTATCATTTCTGAAAACATACTGACAGCTGGAGGCTCAGGAGGCAAAAACCTAATATTTAGGAAAATATATTTACATTATCAATTTTGATCAAATTCTGTGTTTACTAGATTTGTGAAGAAGCTTCAAAGCAGCAGGACATGTACACTACTGATAACGTGAACAATATTTCAAAAAACAAAAAGCTGGGAACACTTGCAAACCATACAACAAGGTTACCTTGTTCAATATGGCCCAAATCCTGATCCTATTGACAGGGCCAGCCTGAGGAAAAATGGCACGCCGGACGAACTTGTATTTTGGCGCCATTTTCCCTTAGGCATGGGGGTTGGTCAGACGGTGGAGCAGCTACCCATACTGTGACCCCTCCCCCATGTCTGGGGAGCTTTGGGGGCAGGAAGCAGGGGGCAGAGGTGCAGAGCTTCCTGCAGCTGTGGGAGGTTTCCAGAGATAGGTCTGACCTGGCTCAGAGAGAGGCCTGTGCAGAGGAAGAGGAAGTCTCCTCCCTCCACATCCTGGCTGAGACTAGCAACTGGAGTCCGGCACACAGTAAGAGTCCCCCGCTGGAGCACCCCCAGCCCTGCCCCTCCCCAGCTCTAGCCCCAGCACTCTGGGTTTAAAGGGGCCTTGGGATGGCTGGGGTATGTGGGGGGGGACTGACCACAGTGCCCCCTGACCACGGCGTCCTGGGCAGTCGCCCACAGTGTCATAGAATCATAGAATATTAGGGTTGGAAGAGACCTCAGGAAGTCATCTAGTCCAACCCCCTGCTCAAAGCAGCACCAACACCAGCCAAATCATCCCAGCCAGGGCTTTGTCAAGCCGAGCCTTAAAAACCTCTAAGGATGGAGATTCCACCACCTCCCTAGGTAACCCATTCCAGTGCTTCACCACCTTCCTAGTGAAATAGTTTTTCCTAATATCCAACCTAGACCTCCCCCACTGCAACTTGAGACCATTGTTCCTTGTTCTGTCATCTGCTACCACTGAGAACAGCCTAGCTCCATTCTCTTAGGTAGTTGAAGGCTGCTATCAAATCCCCTCTCACTCTTCTCTTCTGCAGACTAAATAACCCCAGTTCCCTCAGCCTCTCCTCATAAGTCATATGCCCCAGCCCATAAGGCCATCCCTGGCCATTGAAGTCAGTGACAAAACTCCCATTGGTTTCAAAATTTGGGGGACTAAATTTTGGCCTTGTGGTAACAAAGCGAAGAAGTATATTTTTGGATATGTTGGACAGTATATGATTAATAACACTATTACATTAACAATATTTCACATTTGTGTACTGAACACTTTTTATCTGAAGAGTCTCAAAGACCTTTACAAATATCAATTTATTAAGGCTTGCACACCAAACAGAATGTGAAGGTTATCATTGTAAAATGCTTAGATCTTCCAGGTAAAAGTCACTGCCAGTGCAACCCTTACTCTTGTGAGTATGCCAGGGGTACTTTTGACTGGGCTATTTGTATGAATAAGGACTACAATGGGACCACTCACATAAGTATGGGTTTTCAAGATTGAGTTCTATATAAATGTCAAATATTATTATTAAAAACACTTAGCATTTATACAGCATTTTCCATACTCACATACTCACTTTACAAACATTAATTGATTATTATTAATAATAATACCTAGCTCTTATATAACATTTTCATCCGTAGATCTCAAAGTGCTTTACAAAGGAGGGTAAGTATTATTATTCCCATTGTACAGTGAGGGGGACACTTACCAAAGGCCATGGAGGGAATTAGTGACAGAGCCAGGACTAGAATTCAGGAAATGTTTGGCTGTGAATCAAACTGTGTCTCTCTCTCATTCTCACTATTATTCTTTTACTAGTCTCATTAATAGCCATTGAAAATATTAGCTGTGTCTCAGAAGACAAGAGCACTCACCCTCTAGGAATGGATTTAACAATGCCTGCATTGTACTTTTTTTCCAGGTCAGCAGCATATGAGATCCCTGTGGCTACTATTGTCTGGAATCAAATAAAACAATGGTTTTAATACTGAAACATTGCTCTGATCTTCTTGCAATCAGCCCAGTCTGCTGTGTTTCTTATTAGGGTACTTTGCTTACCACAATTACTTCTATAGGAATCGGAACAGGGATCTTGTGTTTGAATCGATCATTTATTTCTTTAACTACCATACACACAAAAATGGTCAGTAGCCCAGCAATGAGATCTGCAATGTTGGTGGTACCAATTCTTTGAAATATTTCGATGAGGGTCTGAAAAAAATAAAAGACAATTCAAAACACTTTGAAGCCACTTAAATAGAATGATAAAATAGCCCATACAGAGAAGCAGACACAAAACCTCAGAGAAGGTCATGGACTACTTGTCCCATATGCTCATTTTTACTGGCCTGAGGAATCTGATTATGGATGTGAAACAAAAGCAAATCAGCAGGGCATACTTACATATATTATGGAAAGGATCCCATTATAATTTTTGGTTGAAACATTTAAGACTATTTTCAGTTGTGAAACAAAAACTTGAAAAGCAGCTGCAGTTGTGAATCCTCCAACCAGGGGATCTGCTAGGTACCTCACAATGAAACCAATCTGTAGGGCTCCAAACACAAGCTGGAAAAATCACCAGGGAATAACAGTTTGCTAAACAGTTAAAAGGTGCAACAACGATGTTACAAAATACTCAGGATTCAGTCCCACACAGTATGCTGGCTGAGAACAGGTCAAATTGTGATATCCTTACTCACATTGACTAGCACCTTATACCATAAGCAGTCCCACTGAAGTAAATCAGGTTAGCTGTGGAGTAAAGTACTACTCAGTGTGAGTAATGGTATCACACATAACCTGGCCCTGTGTGTGAATCTGAAAAGTCTGAAACTACTTTATTAAGCAAAACTTGAAGGGCCTCATAGTGTAGCCACTCTGAGAGCTGCTGATTTCAATATGAGTACTGTGCACAGAGCAGCTGCAGAATCTGTTCCTAAGTTCTTCAGTAGGGAAGTGGACAAAAGAACAACTTTGGTATATCACTACGGGACAGCAAGATTTATATGGTGCCTTGGACTCCTTCCTTTGCATGACAGTTGCTGTGGATTTCTTCCCTATCCACGATGTCCATCTGTGTCCTATGTAGTTCATATTCTCACCCACTTTTACCTTATCTGGTGTCTACTTATGCATTTTCTATGTTAGACATGCCTTGTTCTTTGTGTATTGACCAGGAATCATTGGACCATCTTCCCTCACACCAACCAGCATACCTTCCAGGGAGACAAAGGAAGAACTGCAGAGCTGTGTAGGGGCCCTCCTTCCTTATGATCCAAGATCTATGCTGTTGGAACTTGGTTTCCCTACAGCTGTCTCAGGCTTTTTGCAGGCACTCAACTACGATTCTGTCCACTTCACTCCCAGCCGTGCTGTCACAAACCTTTTCCCATGAAGCATAGGTGCTGGAACTAAGAGTTCTAGGGGTGCTGCCACACCCGCTGGCTTGAAGTGGTTTCGATCATATACAGGGTTTACAATTTGGTTCAGTGGCTCTCAGCACCCCCACTATAAAAATTGTTCCAGCACTCCTGCCATGAAGCGGGAAATGTATTGAATTCTCTGTCATTTGAAAGCTATGTAAATTTCAGGGTGACTTTCCCCCCTCCTGTGTGTTTTACCATGAGAAGGGAGCCCTAATAAGCTATTTCAAGCTGCATTTTTGCCAGTTATTTAATAAAGTAAAAGCAACATCAATTTGAATCTTTGAGGTAGTTATGTTACCTGTATAATTCCAACCAGAAATGTGAGGGTACTGGCAATCACTACTCTCTGTGCATCTCGGGACGCAGTGTCTATCAGTGTTTTGTTAAGCCCTGTAGCATTACTGCTCATTATGTGGAACTTGTCATCAGGTGCCATGCTCAGCACAACAGATCCCACCATCAAACTGACCACAGGGAACGGTCCTGTAAAGATGAACAGTATAAAGCATGACTTTACACACATCACAAAATCCAAGTGTTTGCAAGATAAAATAAGCAGTTCTGCATTAGAGAACTAGTTAAAACATTTTTATGGTGACAAAATGCTTGTTCATTAAATAATCTAGAATGCACTTCTCTGTGCCCGCCAGGGTCTTGCTTCCATCTGGTGCCAGGCAGAACACAGGACTGATGAACTTCAGCACAAAGTAAGCAGAAAAGCTGTGTATGGGAACAAGTAAAGTTCAGCATTATGCATAGCCCTCTGTACGGAGCCAAAATACTTTTTAAGCCCCACAAACCTGCCAACATGAACGCTCAATACAGTGAATATGGTTAACAAAATGACTGCTTCACACTGCATATTAATACTCATGCCAGACATAAACATTGTGGAAAAAAAGATAATTGACTAAAACTGATATTAAACAGATGCAGTTACCAACTGAGAGGTGCCTTGATGTTCCCAAGAAGAAATACGTCAGGAGGGGAAAAAACGCAGAGTAGAGACCATATCCAAGAGGAACTGCAACCAGTAAAGCAAATGCCAAACCTGTAATCATATATAATCATCATTTTAGTTACAAATCTCACAACAGACTAATCTCTGGTCAAGTAATGGGTCAAATTTTCAGGAAGGCAGCTTCCTTTCAGCCAGGCACAATTTGAAAATACATTTTGCATCTGTAATTCAGTTGTGGGCACAAATTGTGAACTTGTGCCTCAACATTTTTGAGAGAGCCAACCAGGTAGTTACCGGTGTAAGTATTAAGTGTTACACCAGCCATTTTTGTTTTCACAAAATACAGGAACAAATTTTAAGGGCTCTGCGAGATTCAGACAAGGGAACTTTGCAAGTGAAAGCAACTGATCTACCTTTCCATGGGTAAATTTGTGCCAAAAAAGTCTCAATTATGGCTGGAATTTTCAAACATGGATGCCCATTTACTCATCACCTCTGAAAATCAGGCCATTTTTATTTAGATATCTAAATATGGATGTAGATGTCTAACCGTAGGCACCCACATTTGAAAATTTTGCTCCTTACCAATAAAATGACCAATTAGTAACAACGGCTATGATGGGGCCCCGAAGAGCAGAAAAGCAGCTTTGCAAGATGCTTTTCCATGTATAGCCACGTTGCCTTCCTCTGCATATCTGTTTGACCCATCAGCTACATTGATAAAGTGGCAGGAGAAATAAGGAGATGTGGAGAAGTGTTATAACCCTTCCCACCCCTAGAACAGTGAAGCATCCCCAGCAAAATGTGCAGAAATTTAATGCTGTTTCAGGCAGCACTAACTGCCACTACAGAGTCTGTGAGTCCCCTCTCAGAGGTACCACAAAGTGCTACCAGGACTTCAGGACAAATAACAGTCTGGTGGGAAGGCTGAAGAGCAGCACACATGAAGAATCATGGAATCTGTCTGGTTTGGGGACCAAGGCACCTGGGGATCCCTGGCATCTGCTTAATTTTTTGGCTCCGTTTTTTTGTTCCACCTCCTGGCTACTATGAACCCAACCAGCTAGGGCTGGGGATTATAAGAAGAGTATGTAGCTCTAACCAAGCCACAGAATTTTTGTATTAACTAATCTCTATGCACATTTGTGCCAGAAGGAAGCATGTGAGTCCAAAAATGTATTTAAACAGTATATTTTAAAATAAATTGTATTGCTGGATTCTAACTTTAAGAAGTTTGTGTGTGTGTGTGTGAGAGAGAGGGGGGGGGGGGAGAATGTTCTTGTAATTAAAGCACTGCTACTGCCTGGCCGGTTATGAGAAGATTTTTCCAGCTCTGCCATACAGTTCCTGTGTGACCTTAGGCAAGTCATCTCATATTATCTGTGTCTCAGTTCTCTAGCTGTAAAATGGGGCTGATTCTACTTCCTTTCTCCCAACCTTTGTCCAGCTAGCCTATTTAAATGGCAAGCTTTTGGGGGCAGGGAGTGTTTCTGTCTATGGTTATATAATGTCTGCCACTATCAGACCCTAATCTTGTTTGGGGCCATTAGGTGCAGCTGTAATACACAGATACTCGACCCACTGAGGGGCAGAAGGGGGGCAACAGAGCTGTGAAGGCAGCTGACCTTATCATCTGCACAGGATGGGGGAGATTTGCATGCAGGTCTAGATGAAGGGACAATCTAGCCCAAAAGAATTACTATACTGGAACAGACCAGTAGCCCATCTAGTCCTGTCTTTGAAAGTGGCCAGTATCAGAAGATCCAGGGATGAGAATGGGGCTCTTACTTACCTCCTTCTGGTGTTCTTCACAACTGCCTAGTCATGATTAATCTAACTAATGCTTAGTCATCTGTATGTATACATCACCACCTCTCTGTTTATCTACTTTCTCTATCATTAATAAATGTATTAAACAAAACTAGCTGAACATTGCAAACTATGTTCTGTGAATATCCATTCCGATTTTTAAAGTTTGGCCAGGTTCATACCCCTTTTGTTTTAGTTTATTACAAACATTTGAGCAATCAAGCTTTACTGGCACAAATGTTAACAGAAAGTTGTATTCATGAGTTTACATTTGGATAGACAAGTGTTTGGGGCGCTGAGCCAATTGGGGAACAGAAATAATACTAGTGACTTATCTGACCAATCACAAATAACTGAGTAACACAATTCAATTTTTAAATGTTCACCTTAGGTCCATAGAGTTAAAAAAAATCAAAAAGATACTGGTCAAATATAATTGAATAACAACTTCAAGGAAATTGCAATCTGCTAGCCCGTATTGCATAAACAGAAAAAGTAGGCTAAATTAAGGAAATCAGTGATTTATTATGAAATATTAATTTGTATGCAATATAAAATAACATTAGTCCTCATGGATTTTAATCATGGTTAACACTGAAGCACTGATTAGAAAGGAGAAAAGGAGGACTTGTGGCACCTTAGAGACTAGCCAATTTATTTGAGCATAAGCTTTCGTGAGCTACAGCTCACTTCATCGGATGCTCACGAAAACTTATGCTCAAATAAATTGATTAGTTTCTAAGGTGCCACAAGTCCTCCTTTTCTTTTTGTGAATACAGACTAACACGGCTGCTACTCTGAAACCTGATTAGAAAGGGTCAGACATAGTTATGGGAATGCCAATATAGTACATCCAGTTTCTCCTTAATAACAGATAAAATCTTCCTGGACCTTACCTTGTAAAGTAGCTACAAGCCCCGTACTGACACCAGAGATGATATCACTAACTATCCATTCCTTTACTCTGTACTTAGGTAGCCATTCCAGGATGGGGAGAAAGGACTTGGTTATCTGAAAGGCCTTTTTTCTTGAACAGCTGCCAAAAAAACAACAACCTCCAGATAATTAAATTGTCAACCTACCCCTGTGAAATCATAACTGGAAAGTGGAAAAAAAAAATCCTACAAAGAGATCTCAGTAGGTGATATTTAGCCAAAAGAAGATTGGTAATATTTTGTAGAAATTGTCTGAATGCTGTTTACAATTTACTGATTTTATAGTGCCAAATTTTGCTCTCAAGTTAAGAGTTACCCCAGGTTTTGTCCATAATGCTTAGCATTTACGACTGAAAATGGTGACAGTGGCCAGCAAGTTTCACCCATCATAACATTTAAAATATTTCATTTGCAAAACCAATAGTTGGTATTTGGTGATGCATAGTAACCAAAGTGGACTTTCTCAACAGAGATTTTGTATCAATGGGTGAGTTACCACAGCATTTAGTTTTTTGTTCATGTTTCTAAAAATAAAAACATGATCTACTTTGAAAATAATTTTGAATGGGTCGGTCACCTTTCCAAACAAAATATTGGATTATTCTCAGAGGGTCGGAGTCTGTCATTCTCACTCATGCTGGCTAGTACCTTCCTCTGTGTGTAGTCCCATTGGTATCAAAGTATTACCTGAGGAGTAAAATGCTACTCACCATGAGTAAAGGTGTCCCTATATGCCCCTGAATGTTAAAAGAAGGAAGGATTATCAATGTTTACATTATTTTAGGCTATTTTCTTATTACTCAGTTCGTTTCAGGCAGAGCAATATGTGTTTTTAGCAGTAATTTTGTTTTTGATCAATTTTTTTTGCTACAAGATGGAAAGTTGACTCTTCAGTTGGATCCAGTTTATTCTGATCCTGTGATATGATTGTTTGTGTGTATAAACGACTACTCTCGAAAGAAAAAGGATTCCGTCTGCCTCGGACTATAAAATGCAATCAAATTGTAATTGCAACATTTTATAGGTAAGGCCAAGATGACTTCGAGGAACAAAGAATAATGGTTGAGCAACTCTATGCAATCAAAGGAACTCCAGAGGCTAGACGCGGCAGTCCTAAATGTATCTTCTAATAAGGACAGTGCTGGGCCAAATTCGACTCCGTTCTATTTAGATTCTGCACCCGTTCCCATGATATCTGAGCGCCTGCATTGACTTCGACAGAGTCACTCTGGATTTACACAGCGCTGAATCTGGCGTTTTAACAAGACGGAAACCACCTAAATGTTACTTGCGTGGTTTACGTCAAATAAAACTCAAGATTTCAACAGGTCACAAAAACAATGGAAGGAGAAGAAGGAATCAGTGAAGCAGGGAAGGGGAGAGAGCCAAGCACGCGTGAAAACTCCCCCTGTTCTGGACAGAGCTGATCTCCCAGCTCGGAGACTAGCAGACACCGAACGAAGTGCGCAGCAGGGCCAGGCTGGAGTCTGTTGTACCTGGGCTTGCGCTTCGCACACGCCGGGAGCTCAGAGCGATGTCAGTCCCGCCGCCGATCACTCCCAGGGCGGCCCTGGATCTGTGTCCCCAGCCCGGGCGACACGATCCGCGCCAGGCGCTGGGGCTGCCCGGGAGCAGCCGAGCCTTTCGCCTCCTTTCCCTCTGCTCCTCCGCTCCCAGACAGTCGCTCGGCTCCGCGGACCCCCGCGCCCCCTTAGTGCTGCCCAGACACAGCCTGGGCCGCCAGGCAGGTGCCCCCGCGCTCCCCAAAGTCTCCGCGGGACTCCCTGCCCGCACTGGGTCCCCTCCCTCCCCACTCCCGGGGCCCAGCTCCCCGGCTCCCCTGGCCGTCGGTCCTGCTCTCACCTGCAGGCTCCCTGGACTCGCTCGCGCAGGGTCGGCTGCAGGTGCGCTCTCTTCTTGTTCTCCTCCTCAAAGGCCGGCTCGCTGTATATGGGCCGGGCCACCACGTAGCGGCCCAGGTCCGGCATGGGCCCGGCCTGCCGGCCGCCTGCTGCCATGGCCCTGCCTGCGCGGGAGAGAGCGGAGCACCATCAGCGCCGCCCGCGGCCACCCCGGGGACCCACCTGCCGGGCTTCGCGCAGCCCGCCACCCACCCAGCCCGGCACCAGAGCGCCCTCCTGAGCGCAGCCTGCGCCCACCGAGCGCCCGGCGTCCAGCGAGCGCGCACTGCGAAAGAGCTCAGCCTGCACCCAGTGACGAGCCCCCTGCATCGCGAGGGAGCCCTCCCTGCGAACCCAGGAGAACAGCGAGCCCCCTGCGCCTTCTAGTACGGAGCTCCCCCCCCCCCCGGGAGCGCACCGTGAGCCCAGCGAGCGAGTCACGCTGCACCCCACTGCCCAGTCACCCCAAGCCCTGCCGCCCGTAGAGCCCCTGCCCAGCCCAGCGCTGTCCGGGTCCTGAAATCACCAGCCGCAGGAACCGCAGAGCCCCAGGCCAGGATCCCCCCTCTTCCCGCTGGCCCTCGGGCTCCCAGCTCACTGAGCCCGGTGTCCCTGGGCTGAGGGCAGCCGCTGCGGGCCGCACCTGCACCGGCTCCTAAGCCCCAGCACTGGGCAGGGCAGCCGGCCCAGACGCAGCATTTATAGGGCCAGCCGCCGCAAGACTCTTTATTTATGGGGAAACAGAGACACCCGGCTCCAGCCTGAACGAGGAGCCGCCTGCCCTCCCCCTTCTCCCCTTCGCAAGCCCTGCCCCGGACCCTGCTGCTTCCACTGGCATCCTCCCACTCCAGGGCACGGGGGATGGAGCGAGAGGCCTCAAGGACAAGCTGCTCACCGTGGGGAGCTCCCGGCCTGCGCTGCCAGCAGCCCACCCGGGACATCCCGCATGCAGGGGAGGGGGAAGCTGAGGGCATCGGGTTATTCCTATTAGTGAATTAGCTGGGAAATGGGGAAACCTACACCTAGAAGGAGGGAGCTGTCTGCCTGTCTCTCTGTCTGTCTGTCTACTGCATCCTCTGTCTCCCCATCCGCACAGCCAGGGGGTGGCAGCTACTCCAGGGACTGCCTCTAGTAAGCAATTCCCTGCGCCGCTTCGACGTGTGCCCGGTGTGTCCGTGTTCGCCCCTCGCCTACACTCACCTTCCCTTGCTGGGCAGTGTAAGGGCTCCCGGCCCGGTTGTCGGAGTCACACATGCTGCATATACACAGTGGGCTAAACACTGCCCCGTGGCCGCCAAAGTGGGCGGGGGCGGGGGGGGGACGGCTCGGTTAGCCGCTCCCGGGGTCGCTCATCTTAAAAAACACCCCCTAGTCTATTCCCCAGCTGTGGCGTTCCTGCCAAGTCCAGTGTTCAAGGCTTTGGGAATCTAGCAACTGCATAAGCGCTCGGTGCCGCCCGCCTACCAGGACCATTAGGGGTCTCGAGGTCAGCAAGCCGGTGGGTGTATCGCCCCGAGCAGATTAGCCCATACGCTGGTGTCAGCGGCACGCGCCAGCTGCCACAGAAGCCACATCGGCAGGAAGGAGCAGTGAATATAAACGTAGATCCAGTGCCCAGCTCAGAGCACTTGTGGAGCCAGAGCCCTGCTGCTGGGGGAGGAGATGCATGGCGTGAACGGTGGCTGTACAGCCTAGGCAAGAGGGCTTATGCCAGCCGAAGCTGGGCCTGTATAGTCATAGTATTTAAGGTCAGAAGGGACCTCCAGATCAGCTGGGCTGACCTTCTGTATATCACAGGCCACCAACAAAACCCCGTAGCCTAGAGCCCTGTGGCGGGGAGGGAGGTAATGAGTTCATCTACAGTCCATATCTTGTGCTCTTCCCATGCTCCCATCCGCACTCCTATCCCTGCACGCCTTCTCCGTGGTGCTGAGTATTGCCAGCCATACCAGCAGCTCCCTCATCTGCAGCCTGAGGCCCCGACTCAGCAAAGATTTTAAGCATGTGACTGAAGCAGTCAGCTTCCAAAGCGTGTGTCACATATCGCTAGGGACAATAACCACACACAAGAATCTGGATAACAGTCAATGCGATATAACTAAGGAGTCCTTTCCCTGGACACTTGCAGTAGCTTTTAACTTTTTAAGGGGAACTGGTCTGGTGAATTTGATACAGCTTCCAGAATGGAATAATGGACCGTGAAATACAGAATTGCAATTCGAGTCAGTTTAACATTATTTACTAAAAGGATATAGGAACACCACGTGCGGTCAAAGACTTTCTGAGTAGACTTAGAAACCACTCATGATAAAAAATGAAGTAGAACGAAAACAGATTTAAAGGTTCACTTCAATAAGCTACCGCGGTCAAACACAATTATTAATCTTTTTAGGTGCTAGAATGAGGGCCATGCAGATTTAGTGATCACATAAAGCGTACTGGACTCCAGGTGAATTATTAAATGACGGTTATAGTAATAACGAGGAGTCGGGTGGCACCCTTTTTTACCCAGGAAAGCTTATGCTCAAATAAACCTTAGTCATTAAGGTGCTACCGGACTCCTCGTTGTTTTTGTGGCTACAGACTAACAGGGCTACCCCTCTGGTTATAGTAATAGGAACTGGAATAATCATTAAAAACAACACAGATTTCCTTAGTTTATACCATCCTACATAAGCTCAATTTTTGTCACTGTATGTTGTGTACGATCTCATCCAAATACCCACGAAACTGAGAGCGTTCTTTGATATCTACGTAACTGGGATCTCAGCAGAGGATGGTATCAAAGCCACTGATTTAGTTAAAAGAAAAAGGAGTACTTGTGGCACCTTAGAGACTAACCAATTTATTTGAACATAAGCTTTCCTGAGCTACAGCTCACTTCATCGGATGCATCGGATGAAGTGCGCTGTAGCTCAGGAAAGCTTATGCTCAAATAAATTGGTTCGTCTCTAAGGTGCCACAAGTACTCCTTTTCTTTTTGCGAATACAGACGAACACGGCTGTTACTCTGAAACCTGATTTAGTTAAGGATGTCCTGTAACACTGGAAGAATTTTGGAGAAGAATCGGGAAGACTCACCTGAGCTAACATTAATTAGGGCCAAAATCATAGGGAGACTAATTCAGCCCTGATCCACAGCCCAAGCAACCCCAGGGATTTCGCGGAAATGTGCATGAGGTATAAACCAGGAATTAATTTAGCCCTGATTGTCCACGGTGTTCAAACGTCTTGAGGAGATGCTCTGAACTTGCAGGATCGCACATTGAAGGGACAGTGAGATTGAGGACAGTAGATGTGAAAAATAAAACCCCACCTGTGTTGCAAATAAAAGTATTTGAAAAAAATGAGTTGAGGAATGAAAAATACAAAACAAAAAACGCCACCCTAATTCAAAATGATCCTCTCCCCCTCCCCCAGACTGAGGTAGGCGAATATGGAGGAGGTGAATGATGAAACCTGGCACACGTGAGGACCTTCCTTCCTTCCTCCGCTTCACAGAGCACCTTCTATCAAGCGTGGCACCTACCGCTGGCAGCTGGGAGGGGGTTTTCGTTTGTTACTTGAAACCTACATAACTTCCCTTTCAAACCCTCTTCTTTATTTTTTTTTTTTTTGTTTAACTTTCCGTTACTGTTCCTTAGTTAGAAGATTGTTAGGTTCTCGTTCGGTTTGTTAACGCCTAGTGACTAAGTTATGGGTAATGAAACAAAAGGGATACAAGTGGTAAAAGTGGTACGTGTGCACTGGAAAGGGATTCCTTTCATACGGCATTTCTAATCATTCAGCGCTTAGTCCTGTCTCTTAGATGCAGCTCTGCACTGGGAGTGGCGCCGAGTGGCACTACCCCAGGGAAGTTTAGGAACGGAGTGTTAGATCAAGATACATCCTTTCCCCCCCCGCCCCCCAATACTTTGCACTTTGTGATACGCCTTCACAGTATTTTGAACATAGGGCCACACATTTCCTGGCTGCTGCTTGGGTCCCTGGTGGGAAAAGTAAAAAAAAAAAAAAGCCTCCCCTGTTTTAGTGACCCTCATGCTGGAGCTCTGCACAGTGGCAGGTGATAGGGATTTACCGGCCCTGCCTAGCACCCAGGGGTGCACGTCACTCCTAACGGGATGGGAAAGACGCAGGGTCATGTTCCCCCCAGCACTGGTTAGCAGAGCTGAAAGGAGACAAAGGGGGGAACTCATGGAGTTCCCCTAAAGGCTAGGACCCTTGCATGCCAGGGAATTCCTGGAGTTAGCTCTCCCTGTCCCTCAACTTATTACCCAGTTTCTCCAGCTGTGGAGTTCCTGCCAAGTCTAACGTTCAAGACTTTGAGAAGCTAGTATGTGAATAAGCCAGGGGCGGCCAACCTGTGGCTCCGATCCACATGTGGCTCTTCAGAAGTTAATATGCGGCTCCTTGTATAGGCACCGACTCTGGGTCTGGAGCTATAGGTGCCAATGTTCCAATGTGCAGGGGGGGGGTGCTCACTGCTAGACCCCTGGCTCTGCCAGAGGCCCTGCTCCGACTCCATCCCTTCCCGCCCCCTCCCCTGAGCCGGCCATGCCCTGGCTCCTCCCCCGGCAGAGCCTCCTGCACGCCAGGAAACAGCTGATTGGGAGGTGCAGGGAGGGAGACGCTGATCAGCGGGTCTGCTGGTGGGCGGAAGAGGCTGGGAGCCGGGGAGCTGATGGTATGTTACAGTGGCTCTTTGGGAATGTACATTGGTAAATTTTGGCTCCTTCTCAGGCTCAGGTTGGCCACCCCTGGTATAAGACCTTGGTGCTGCTAACACACCAGGACCATTAGGGGAGTGGAGGTGAGCAAGCCAGTGGGTTTGGGGGTGTATACTCCTGGAACTCCCAGGCATGCAGAGACACCAGCCTTTGGGGGGAGCAATGTGTCATCCCCCTCCTTTGTGTCCATTCAGTTACGCTAAAAAGTGCACGCAGGAGGGAGCAACATAACCCTGCCTCTTTTCTGTCCCTTTGGGAGTGACATGCACCAGTGGAGGGGGCAGTAAGTCCCTATCATCTGCCATTGTGCAGGGCTCCAGCATGAGGGACACAAAAGCAGGGGAAGCTTTTTTTCCCTCCTTTTCCCATCACACACCCATGCAGCCATCAGTAAATGTTTGGCCCTATGTTCAAAACGCTTTGATGGTGTAACAGAGTGCTTACGTATTATTAGAGCAGAATCTATCTTGCCCACTTTGGACTCAAATTTTCCCAGAGTGATTTCTGTTAACATGCACAGGGTTAAACTGATTGCTAAATCTGAGATCAGGAAGCAATTTTGACTCAATCCATGTCAGCATGTACTAGTTTAACTATAAAGTACCAAACAGAGAATCTGTGAGGAGCATCTGAGCTTCTCTCACAGGATCAAGACCTTGCAAATATTTGTCAATTTGGGTTCTTCCATTCTTTGTCTACATTGCTAAATTGGGACTTTAATTTTGAATATCACTAATATTTCTACTGATGGCCACAGTCCTGCAGGCTATAGGTATTGTGAGATAACCGAACAGAGTACTTTTTCCCCAAAGTGCAAAAAAACCCAATGTGAAGCAGTTGTAAAATGTTTTTTAAAAATAAGATTTAGCAAACACTGGCATTTGTAAACCTGCTATAATATTTGTAATGTGCTTTTAACCCTCTTTCCAAATAAGCGTGGTTATATTTTGAAAGCATGGAAAATTGCTTTAACTTTATGTAGACAAATAATATGGCAAGTGTGGAACACTTGAGTTCAAAGGTTAATAAGCATCAGATGTAATATGAAAACAAATACTTGTGAGCAATGCTTAATGAGCAAAGAACAGCTAGACTCAGTCGGACCAATGGTCCAGCTACCCCAGTATGGGGTCTCTAACTGCGGCCAATGCCAGATACTTCAACAGGAATGAACAGAACTGAACTGATCCATCCCTTGTCCAGTCCCAGCCTCTGGCAGTTGGAGGTTCCGCGATAGCTGGATCAGGGGTTCACCCCTGAGCATCTTGGCTAATAGCCATTGATGGCCCTATTCTCCATGAATTGACCTAATTCCTTTTTGAACCCAGTTGTCACAATGACTTAACATGAAGGCTGGAATCTAACAGATCTGACTGTCATGCATTTTGATAAAGTACCATTAATGGAATATCTTTAAGACAGAAACAAGAGATGGAGGCAAAGTAGAGAGTCTGAAAATTAGGGGTTGCTTAAAATCTGCATTTACTGAAACACGTTCCCTATACTGATAAGTATGGCTACTGTCCTGTTCTCCTCCAGTTCTTTTCAAGACTGGCTTCTACAAGTATTCCTATGTCAGCCAGTATATAATTGCTAGGCTGAGGGGCAAGTTTATGTAATTATAAAACTTTTAAAGAGAATGATTTACAGCCAGTCTGTGTCTGTATATAAAATTGGACATACAATGGTCCCACTCTCCTCTTCACCTTAAACAAACGATATTCTAAGAATTCTAACCTAAATGGTAGTGCAGAGTTGCTCTGCACTGTTAATCTAAATTACAGTTGCATTTCACTGCAAGAGTACTTTATTCCTTTCTATAGCATGTCAAAACTTTGGGATCCCTCACAATGCTAGGTACTATTTCAGGTGGAGCAGACAGGGAACTTTAACTACTTATGTTTCTAACACTTTCATAAGCACCAGTTTTCAGTTCCTTATGTTTTTGCCAAACTTTTTAAAGATTTTAAATCTGGGTGTCTGCTTTAGGCATTTTTTTAATTTCAGCTGTTTTTGTTCAGTTGTTTCTGAAAATGAGAGTAGGGAAAAATAGGTACTGTACACGGGCAATGGTAAATTCTGGTATTTTCAAACTGTTAGGTACTTGATTTTATACTTTTAAGGTTCTTTGAAATGTAGGTTTTTGTATGTTAATATTAAGGTTGTGTCCAAGCCATATTTACTGTATAGACAAGCTGATAACATAAAAGCATTTAGTTGGAGCCATAAAAGTTTTAGGCTCTAATCCTAAAGGGGATTTAGTTAAATTGGATAAGAGGCCAATAGGAAATTGAAAGGTGGATAGGGAATTGGTTAAAGGGGAGACACAGGGTCCTACGAAAGGTGACGCAAGTTGGAGGGAGGTTACCAGTGGAGTTCCTCAAGGATCAGTTTTGGGACCAATCTTTTTAATCTTTTTATTACTGACCGGGCACAAAAAGTGGGAGTGTGCTAATAAAGTTTGCAGATGATACAAAGCTGGGAGGTATTGCTAATTTAGAGAAGGACAGGGATACCCTACAGGAGGATCTGGATGACCTTGTAAACTGGAGTAATAGGAATAGGATGAAATTTAATAGTGAGAAGTGTAAGGTCATGCATTTAGGGATTAATAACAAGAATTTTAGTTATAAGCTAGGGACGATCAACTAGAAGTAACGGAGGAGGAAAAGGACCTTGGAGTATTGGTTGATCATAGGATGACTATGAGCTGCCAATGTGATATAGCTGTGAAAAAGCTAATGTCATCTTGGGATGCACAGGAGAGGTATTTCCAGTAGGGATAAGGAGGTTTTAGTACCATTATATAAGGCACTGGTGAGACCTCACCTGGAATACTGTGTGCAGTTCTGGTCTCCCATGTTTAAGAAGGATGAATTCAAACTGGAACAGGTACAGAGAAGGGCTACTGGGATGATCCGAGGAATGGAAAACTTGTCTTATGAAAGGAGACTCAGGGAGCTTGGCTTGTTTAGCCTAACTAAAAGAAGGTTGAGGGGAGATATGATTGCTCTCTATAAATATATCAGAGGGATAAATACCAGAGAGGGAGAGGAATTATTTAAACTCAGTACCAATGTGGACACAAGAACAAATGGATATAAACTGGCCACTAGGAAATTTAGATTAGAAATTAGACGAAGGTTTCTAACCATCAGAGGAGTGAAGTTTTGGAATAGCCTTCCGAGGGAAGTAGTGGGGGCAAAAGATCTATCTTGCTTTAAGATTAAACTCGATAAGTTTATGGAGGAGATGGTATGATGGGATAACATGGTTTTGGTAATTAAATATTCATGGTAAATAGGCCCAATGGCCTGTGATGGGTTTTTAGATGGGGTAAGATCCAAGTTACCGGGAAAGAATTTTCTGTAGTATCTGGCTGATGAATCTTGCCCATATGCTCAGGGTTTAGCTGATCGCCATATTTGGGGTCGGGAAGGAATTTTCCTCCAGGGCAGATTGGAAGGCCCTGGAGGTTTTTCGCCTTCCTCTGTAGCATGGGGCACGGGTCACTTGCTGGAGGATTCTCTGCTCCTTGAGGTCTTCAAACTACAATTTGAGGACTTCAATAGCACAGATATAGGTGTGAGGTCTTTTTAGGAGTGGTGGGTGAAATTCTGTGGCCTGCATTGTGCAGGAGGTCGGACTAGATGATCATAATGGTCCCTTCTGGCCTAAATATCTATGAATCTATAAAGTTGAGCTGCATGGATTGACCGTTGTGGCTGCACAGAGCCCCAATTCCCTCTAGATTATCTTGCAAGATTGGGGCCTTACTTTCTAAAATTTTATCAGAAAAAACACTCAACAAACAAAGAAATCTGATGAGGTTCAACAAGGACAAGTGCAGAGTCCTGCACTTAGGACGGAAGAATCCCAGGCACCGCTACAGACTAGGGACTGAACGGCTAGGCAGCAGTTCTGCAGAAAAGGACCTAGGGGTTACAGTGGACGAGAAGCTGGATATGAGTCAAAAGTGTGTCCTTGCAGCAAGAAGGCCAATGGCATTTTGGGATGTATAAGTAGGGGCATTGCCAGCAGATCGAGGGATGTGATCGTTCCCCTCTATTCGACATTGGTGAGGCCTCATCTGAAGTACTGTGTCCAGTTTTGGGCCCCACATTAGAAGAAAGATGTGGAAAAATTGGAAAACATCCAGCGGAGGGCAACAAAAATGAATAGGGGACTGGAACACATGACTTATGAGGAGAGGCTGAGGGAACTGGGATTATTTAGTCTGCAGAAGAGAAGAATGCGGGGGGGGGGGGGGGATTTGAAAGCTGCTTTCAACTACCTGAAAGGTGGTTCCAAAGAGGATGGATCTAGACGATTCTCAGTGATAGCGGATGACAGGACAAGGAGTAATGTTCTCAAGTTGCAGTGGGGGAGATTTAGGTTGGATATTAGGAAAAACTTTTTCACTAGGAGGGTGGTGAAACACTGGAATGCGTTACCTAGGGAGGTGGTGGAATCTCCTTCCTTAGAAGTTTTTAAGGTCAGGCTTGACAAAGCCCTGGCTGGGATGATTTAGTTGGGGATTGGTCCTGTTCTGAGCAGGGGGTTGGACTAGATGACCTCCTGAGGTCCCTTCCAACCCTGATATTCTATGATTCTAGGATATATTTTCATTTTCATTTTTTGCCTGAATTTCAAAAAATGTTTTAAATTTCTATATAGAAAAAAAATTCCTCCTACCCCCCCAAGCATATGCCACTAACTTCCCTGCTAGGCTGAATAACTTTGCTGAGCACATACTTGCTTGTATGACATGTTGTGTTCAGATGGTCTGTTCTGAACTTTTGGATTAACATTAATTTTTGAACCCTCTGGTCTGTATTAATTTAAAAACACTATTATCAGCATCAAACATACATATTTATTGGACAAGGCAAGTGAAATAGTAATGTTATGAAAATGTTGTTTTGTTCTTCATGTGGGTAATTATAAACTCTGATTTTCAGGTTTTAATAGAGACAGTTTATCAGATAAAATGGACATTTTCCACAAACACACTGAAACTCATAAGCTTAAACAATCCCTTTAATATAATCATCATATCCAACTTTTAAGTACAAAATTTGAATCACTAATGAAAAAATTACTCAATTTAGCTGTCAGATGCAAAAGAACAGATAATGTATATTTAATTTGAGGTATTGTAGAATTACTCCTTAAACCATGAACTGCTTTTCATCAGTATAAGTAAATTATACATGAACGTTCTTTAAAGAATTTTACACTTTGCAAAGCAAGAAAGCACAGCGGGACGCACACACACACACAAAGTAAACAATAGATTTAAATCCTTGTACAAATGAATCAGGGAACAATAAAAACCCCACCAATACTATTTTTTATGACAAAAAATTCTGAAGTACTCCAAAATAACAACCCAAAGGCATGCAAAATGGATAATTGTGAAACACACCCATCTGTGTGGCACAATGGGAAAAAAACAAACTAGTGTGAGGTGGATTTAGAAATCTAACTTCCATATTTTTACTGATTGTCAATCAAATCCTTCTACATAAATAGAATGGAAAATGAAGAATATTTAGCCTTATTTAACCCATAAGTAATCAAATTTCATAGGACTGCTGGCAAAAAAGGGTTAAAGTCACCATGTTTTCATGGTTTAGTGTGATTTACAAAACCACTCATATGTTACAAGCAATTGGTGTTATTGTGCATCATCCTTTTACCATTTTTGAGGGCAAAAGGATAGAGATCATCTGAGTTTTTAGTGCAGATGGAAAATTTCCATTATATGCTTACATTTTTCCTCACAAGAACTGAAATATGAACTTCAAGGCATATCCCTTATATCACTTAGTATTCTCATTGCAACACGGAATATATTTGGCAACCAAGAGCGATAAGTAGAATCTGAGTAGTGAACTACAGTGCATTTGATTTTCTTAAGAAAATCAAACCTTGTGCCATCTACTTCAGGAGGTTAAAGAGAAGAACAAGAGACTTCACACTGATGCAGTTATATCTAAGCAGTCTTTCCTGAATTGCTTCTACAGGTCTTTCTTATCCTCCTCTTCATCTAGGAGGTCCTGCAAACAAAGAGACAGACATGTCAGAAAGAAGCAAATGAACAATCTTTGCATTTGGCAAGATTAGTAACTGATGTCTCAGGATGAATATCCTAATGTTAAATCCTGAAAGGACAAGAGATACTGGGCTCTCTCTGTGGCCACACAAGTTCAGAATGCATCAGAAACACTATGGTTCTACTGCATGAGGAGAACCAAGAAGATGAGGAATGGCACAGTTGGACTTCACATCCCAGAGCTAAGATCCCTGGAGTTCTCTCCACAGGGACTTCGGGAGGGGTTGTGGGTGGGCGAGCTGGCCAGGAGATTTAGCCAGTACACTGTACAGACCTACTAACTACAACCATACGCCGCAAAAGGCCAGTAGGCTGCAGCTATTACTATAGCTCAGGGGTGGCCAAACTCACTGACCCTCCGAGCCAGAGATGACAATCTTCAGAAGTTTGAGAACTGGGGTGTGTCTGCTGGGGCTTGGGGATTCAACCCTGCTCCTGCTGAAGTCCTAAACCCTGGCAGGCGCGCCCCGTGAGGCTGAAACCCCGAGAACCCCTCCCTGCTGTGCAGAAGCAGCCCCAAGCCCCACACCCTGCTGCAGGGCAGAAGCCCTGAGTTCCTCCTAACCCCAGTCTGGTAGGCAGAGGATGGGGGGCAAGGGGGGGGGCTCTGCGAGCTGCACTTTAACTGTAAAAGAGCCACATGCGGCTCACGAGCTGCAGTTTGGCCACTCCTGCTACAGCTCATAAGCTGCAGTATGGATGCAGCTATGTAGGTGGTTGGGGTCTGGCTTCTGGGTTGAGGGGAAAAGTCTGTCTTCCTCAACACTCATGTTGATTTCCTATATATAAGAAAGGGCTTGTCTTCACTATTAGGGAGATTGATGCTGCTGCAATCGATGTAGTGGGTGTCAATTTAGCGGGTCTAGTGAAGACCTGCTAAATCGATGGCTGAGCGCTCTCCGGTCGACCCCTCCAAGAAGAGTAAGGTAAATCGACTGGAGAGCATCTCCCATCAATGCAGCGCAGTGAAGACACCAGGATAAGTCAACCTAAGCTACATCAACTCCAGCTACATTATTCACGTACATGGAGTAATGTAACTTAGGTTGACTTACCCTGGTAGTGAAGACAAGCCCATAGAGATTTTAGCTTAAGTGCAGCAATTGTCAAAAGTGACCAAAAACACCAAAACTACATGTGGAGTTCCATATTCTCTTCATTTTGAGAAATAAAGTTTGTTCATTTAGCAAATCAAAGGTTTATAAACAGCAAAACAAAACCCCACAATAGACTGCAATCTCTTCCTGAAAGCCATCTGTATTCTTTCTGGAGGCTACATCACCACCCATAATGAAGATTCTACACTTAGAACTTGGTGGGCAATTTTGTTGATGTAGGAGTCAATAGAATTCTGCTCTCTCCAGTACAGCACTGCTGGAGTCTAGTTCCAGTGGCACAAACAAGTTGCTTAATACAATTAACAGAAACAAAATGACGTTTTCTCCAGTAAACATACATGATGGACCTAGAGGGCGCTAATGTGGGTGGTGACATTTTACAGAGTTACTTCTCTAACTGAAGCTGTACTTTAGAATAGTTGCAGAATTCTCTCAGCTTCTCAGAACTTAAGAGTTTGATTTTTTTTTAGGTCAAGGCTGAGTATTGGCAGGGGTTCACGTGAGTTAGCAATGTCTGTGAAATTGTATATGACCATATCTTTCTCAGAGTGAGTATATGTTAATATAGAACTAATAAGGTATTACTTGTCCTGAGCCGGGAGGAAGAAAAGAGGCAAATATGCTCAATGCTTAGTTGAAGGAGAGGTGAGGGGAGAGGCGAAAAGCAATCTTGTACACAAAAAAACTATATTAAAGTAACAATAAGGTTGCAAAGTCAAACACTCAAAAAGTTAGGAACAACAGAATTAAGGTTGCCTGTGCAACCTTAATTTGGCTCCCTTGTGTGCATGCACATTATGACATGGGGTTTCCTTACATGATCACATCTACTATTTCTTCCAAAGAGCCAGCGCTCAGGATGGACAGTCAATGTGCACCTATTTGATATTTTGCTTTTATCCTCATTCAATATGTTCTTTTAACAGTTGTGTTTGTGCGTGCAATTTCTTTCCTTTTTTTTTTTTTTAAAAAAAGGACAACCAAAAACAAATTCCACCATGTGGCATCATATGGACACCCACATGGTTCATCAGCAGGGTTGGAACCTTTAGATCCACCACACACATCTCTGTCACTTGAGCTAATGGAGTAACTGATAGGAGTACTAGGATGTCATCCTCAATGTGGATCAGCATGAGTGTGGGGGAATGAGACACACACTTTGCCAGGGGCGTTCACAGATATTGCTGATGACAGAGGAATGGTGAGACTCAGGAATCTTGGTTTCCATTCTTGGCTTTGGAAGAGACTATACTGTAGGGAGCATTAAGACTTTTCTGCCTGTTCTCTCCTGCCCCCCTCCCCAAACTTGACTCCTTCAGCCTCATCCTCTTCAACGTGTCACAATCCTGTCTCTTTCCCACCCCTGGGCTCCTTGTCCAAGTCCAACTCTCCACTTCTCAGGCTTCTCATCCCAGTCTCCTAGTTCAGCCTCCCCCTGCTATCTCCCCATCCAAATCCTAGGGCAGGTCTACACTACAGGGCTAAATTGACCCAAGTTATGCAATTCCAGCTATGTGAATAATGTAGCTGGAGTTGATGTACCTTAGGTCGACTTAGTACGATGTCCACACCACGTGGGGTTGATGGGAGAAACTTTCCAGTCGTCTTACTTTATGCTTCTTGTTCCAGTGGAGTACCGGAGTCGACAGGAGAGCTATCGGTGGTCAATTTAGTGGGACTTCACTAGACCTGCTAAATCGACCGCCAGTGGATCAATCGCTGTGCATCGATTCCCTGATAAGTGGGGACAGGCCCCCAGTCTCCTCTCCTTACTCAGTCTTATTGCCCAACCAGTCTCCCCAGCTTCATCATTTTCTCTCTCCCCACCCTCAGTTTTATCAGATACCTTGCACCACTCTACTCCTTTCCCTCCCTCCCCCACTCCTTTTTGCTGCTCTTGTCCTCTCTGTATTTTAAGTCAAGTAGCTTCCTCTTCATGCTCCCTGTGCAGCAGCAAAACTGTTTCTGGGTCTGCGTGCCACTGACGGCACAGGAGACACTAGCTCCCTGTATTCAGTTCTAGTGCCCAGCCTGAGGCAGCACGGAGCTGCAATTACAGAGAAAATCCAGCTTCTGCCCTAAAGCTCTGGGCTGGAATATATTCAGTCACTCTGGGGGTTGCATATGCATAGTCTAGTCAGTACAGGTTCTCCGAGGGGCTGGAGCATGCTCAGGAAAGACAGAATCTTCAGATGTTTTAGCTGTCATGTGAATATTTTTTAAATATTTAAATAGTTTGTAATTTAGTAAAATTTGCACCAATTTTTCCCAACAGCACAGGTACATTCCTGACACAAAGGCCATCGGCTGCCAAATTTCCAGTTACTGCTCCAAAGCACAGGGGCACTAGAGCGTCTCAAAGAAAAGCTCACCAGAATTTTGTTAATACCGTAAAACAATGTATTTTCCACAACTTTGTTCTTGGAAACAGCTGAACAATTTTGGCTGAAAAACTTTAAGAAAAAAATTGATCCCGAGGCAGACACCTGGAATGGAAAATTTCATCCCATATAATTAAAGTTTGACAATTTTTAATCAACTGAAAATAGGGTCTTACATGGGAAGGGTCTGGCAATCTTAACAGGCAGTGCTACCAGCCCTAACTATGTTTTTATAGTATTTCAATGCCTCTGAACCCTTAAGCCCAATAAAAATCCATGAAATGATTTTTTAAAGTGTTATTCAGCTTTTGCCAGTTAGGCTGCCTGTTAACATCTTGCACATCACTTAGTTTGAACAGAATGTTTAGATTGACCTGTTTGTAGTCTCTTGCTTCCTGGTTCTTGAGCATTAACAATGCTGCAGCATTTGGATTGCAAACATCATAGAGGAATGTTTAAAACCATAAAACAAAAACTAACCCCAAACCCTCCCTCTCACTGTAATTTCCATTACCTTCTTGAAGCTTTCAGGCTCAGTCCTTGAGTGAAGGACTTCACATGAATCCTGAACTCAGCCCCCAAGCTACAGCACATCAACCTAGAAATCTGATGATGCCACCTTTCCTTACCTCAGAAAAATACTACCCAACTTTGCCATAAGATTCCTGCAAGAAGGCAGAATTCTACTAGGTATTTTTATTACCTTCAGGGAGTAATTTCCATTGTAACATATACTGAAGGGTTTGATAAATTCTCTTGCTCTTGGAAAAGAAACATCCAACTTGTGTAATTTTGTTAGTACAATTTCAGAACATTCTGCTCATGCAGTGAACCACAACCACCTACCTGCAGCCGTTCATGTTCTTTCATAAGGCGATCATATTCTCTTTTAAGGCCTTCAGATTGCTTTTTAACTGCAGTCACTTCATTTGTTGCCTTGGAAAGGGCTATAAGATATAGAAGTGAATTTATCAAAACACTTTAGTCACTGCATTTTGATATGAAGAAACATCTATGCAATAATACTACAGCTGTCCAAGAGTAAAGTTTCAATTCTGTCTTTAACAGCATGTGCACCAGATATATATGTCCCAATTCTGATCTCGCATTGGTCTATGTCTATTGACTTCAAAAACGAAGGGTCTGAATCTGATCTCACATTGCTGTAAATATGAAGTATTGCCATTGTACTTTAAACAATCACAGGTAAGTAGATATTTGGTACTTAAGTAGTTTGTGAGTTATTACCTGAAGAAAATGAAATTCAAAATTATTACACTAGGAAGTTTCAGAAGAAGTTCATATTGTTTAATATATTGTATGAGTTTCCATTCCCTTTCCTTTATAGATTTGGTTAGAAAAGAAATATACTTATAAACAGTTGATGACCTTATAAAGAATTGCACCATCTACTGAACTGTATGATTGTCTAATTCTCATTGTGATCACCTTTATGTCTTACATTACGTTTAGTTTGTGTGTCCAAACCTGGACAGTGTGAAATGATTTTAGTCAATGATTTCATAATTTGGGGCAGCTATTTTGGAGATTTGTTGTTACATTCAACCAAGATGTGTCAGAATGTAGGAAAGGGCTAGGGAGCTATATTCACTCTCTCTCACATCATTCTACAACCAGAAGCCTATTTGTACCAAGCCTTCTCAAGAATATGGAGAGGTGACTTCCTGTTAGTTTTCCAACAAGTATACGATTTTTTCTGTCCCCCCATTTTAGGAGCATAAAAATAGTTGCAATTGCCTTTGCCTATTAGAGCTGCCATTACTGCCCAAGACAATTTCCCAGTCACCTATTTGCTCTTTAGTTCACCTGTTTCATTCTGGCGAACTGTCACTATAGTGTCAAATAGTGCTATAAGAGGGTTTAAGATCTGTTTGAATGTAATTTCTATTGGAGACAGCGTGTTTTGCATGCCTATCCAGTTTTCCGTGTGCAGAAATGTCTTATTTAGTGGTACCTAGAAGTCAAGTTGTTCAAATAATTTAAATGTTTGGTACTTGAGAAGATGTTCTATGTTTTGCAGTATCTTTTCTGTCCATTTGCTTTTTGGAGTAAAATCTAATTTGTCATATAATTCACTTAACTTTGATAAGAAAATATGCATTTTACATATAGTCAGATTTCACCAATCATTTTTCATTTGTAAAAGAATGGCATTCTGAAGTGTCTCAAACTGATTTTTTTAAAGTGTAGGCCAGTTTGATTTATATTTCTGTTCCCAGAATTAGGGACTGCGTATCTACTGGAGGTTCCATTGTGCAGTAAGATTTGATTACTATAGGATATCCCAAGTTCAGACAAATGTGACACGTTTCAGGTGATGAGAGTTTGAATTATTTTAAATACATAATGGATTTATGCTCATTAAAGTAACCAGCCTGATAATATACACCACCATTTGTCTACCCAGATGTTACATCAAGCATCTTATATTTGCAAGCCTTACTTTTGCAAGTAGTCTAGCCCTATTGACCTTAATTGGACTACTTAGCAAATAAGTGTTGCAAGACCAGGTGCGATATTCCTCAGCAACATATTCATTTTAGTAATGTGTTAGACCTTTCCTAAGCAAAAACGTTACCAAGTAACTAAAGTGATGTGACATTCCTATGTGCTGTGGCAGATAGCTCCAAAACCTTTTGACATAAGAACATAACTCAGGAATGAAATGGGATTTCAGGAGGGCAAAGCAGTTTTGTCCATGGAATTCAAAAACATTTTAATTAGGAATGAAACAATCCCCCCTGCCCCTCTTCTCTATGGGAGCTCCAAGCTCCTTTTTAGTACTGCTGTATATCGCACAACACTTGAGGCCCTTCAATATAGCCATCAACCTTATGGCCAAGAAGTGCTGAACAGGACTTTTTAAAGCTCATCAACAAGGCCAAAAATGCCATTGTTGGGTGATAAAGAGCACTCCTTTCCCACTCTTCTACACCTACAAATTAAATTGGCCTAACTACATTGCTCAGGGCTATGAAAAATTTTGTTCCCTGTGTGACATAGTTAGATTTGCCTAACTTGCATATGCGAACGGAAGAATTCTTCCATTGACCTAGCTATCGCCTCTCCAAAATGTGGATTATCCATATCAAAAGAAAAAAAAAACCAACACTTCCATCAATTTAGGAAGCATCTACGCTACAGCTGCATCGCCATAGCTGTCCTATTATAGTTGCTGTAGTGTGGACATGGCGTTAACGTGCTGCCTGTATAGCTACCTATGCTAGGAGGTACAAGAGACAGACTCCAAATTAGATCACCCACATTGCAATATAGGCTATTAACTATTAGCCTAAGAGGTTAACCCACAAAGCTATTTTTAAAAGCAAGTCTAATTGTAACAAAATGTAAAAGGTGACTTTTTAAAAAAAAATTACCTTTGTTGCTTGCCTTCCCTCAACCCTTGTCAGTGTCCTTAGACTATGGGCTCAAGATAGTGACCATTTCTTTAGTCCCCAGAACACGCCTAGCAAATTGCAGATGCAATCATAAACCAAGATGCTGTTCTCAGCAGACTTTGAACAAAGCATAAGTGCTTAATAAAGAGAAGGAACAGGGGAACTAGTCTGAAACAGGGGCAATACTTATTTTGCTATTACCTTGACTGCTCCTCTGTTGAAATCATCATCCATGCCTCATTTCTTTATGCCTCACTTCTGGAATTTCCTTTTCTATGCCTTCCCAAGACCCAGGTCTCCAGACTCCAGCATATGAAGAAAGATACTATATACCTTCACATATACCCGAAGGTGGATGACTGCAACATCCACATTTTTTAGACATTCCATTGGGTCTTCATTTGACAATCTAGTTCAAAATCAACCTTATTTTTTAAATTTTCCATGGGCTTTCTTTTTTTAAACGTTCCATAGCCTTACCTCATAGACCTGGGATGAAATGCTGTCTGCACTGAAGTCAATGGCAAAACTCCAACTGACTGCAATGGAGCCAGGATTTCACTCCTTGTGTCTCTATATTCCTCCTTTCACTCCCCCTCTCTGCTAGTCTTGCACTGGCCTCCTCTCGTCCTTTAATACCATCTTGCTAGTATTAATGTAAGAATCTTCTCCTCCACAACTCCCATAATTTGGAACAGCCAGCCATTCTGCACATCTGACAAGTGAACTCTCCATTATATTTACAATCTTTGCTGAAATTCTCTTCTTTTCTTATATTACTTAACTTTCTCTTCTGCTACTGAAATATCTGACACTCACACACGTGGGAATCAAATCAATAAGTGTTACTCTTTATAAGTTTTTAATATTTACATTGCAAATAAAATGTAAACACATGTTCTCTTTTCCCTCTTCACTTTGAGGTTCCTCTCTATGCTGTATAGAAAACTAAAAAGGAAACATACTCCAGGATTTAATAGTTTTTCTTCATACTTAGGGATTTCACAATCTAATGCCATTGCACTATTTTTCATACAATATTTTGGTAACTTGATCTAATAGTAGCTACTGGGCTGTTTCACAAGAAGCTGAACACTGCTTTGGTTGTAACTAAAAACACCCATATCTCTAAACATGAACAAAATATCTAAAGATATCTGTAGATCAACAAAGCAAACAACTCATTGCATCGTCTCAATGTTTTGACCACAACGGACTCATGACAGGAATACCTCACCGAATCCTAGCCGAAGGAAAGCAAAGGCCAAGCTGTCCCTTCCCCCTCTGTGGGGAAATGACGAAAACCCCATTGATCCCTGCTGTGGACTACAGAATGAGTTGATCTCTGCTGTTCCTGGTGCAAGTGCTGGAGGAACCAACTAGGGGCAGAGCTCTTCTTGACCTGCTGCTCACAAACCAGGAAGAATTAGTAGGGGGATGCAAAAGTGGATGGGAACCCTGGAAGGCAGTGATCATGAGATGGTTGCGTTCAGGATCCTGACACAGGGAAGAAAGGAGAGCAGCAAAATACGGACCCTGGACTTCAGAAAAGCAGACTTTGACTCCCTCTGGGAACTGATGGGCAGGATCCCCTGGGAGAAAAACAGGAGGGGGAAAGGAGTACAGGAGAGTTGGCTGTATTTTAAAGAATCCTTATTGAGGTTACAGCGACAAACCGTCCGGACGTGTAGAAAGTCTAGTAAATATGGCAGGCGACCAGTTTGGCTTCACAGTGAAATCCTTGCTGATCTTAAACACAAAAAAGCAGCTTACAAGAAGTGGAAGATTGGACAGGGAAGAGTATAAAAATATTGCTCGGGCATGCAGGAGTGAAATCAGGAAGGCCAAATCACACTTGGAGTTGCAGCTAGCAAGAGGTGTTAGGAGTAACAAGAAGGGTTTCTTCAGGTATGTTATCAACAAGAAGAAAGTCAAGGAAAGTGTGGGCCCCTTACTGAATGAGGGAGGCAACCTAGTGACAGAGGATGTGGAAAAAGCTAATGTACTCAATGCTTTTTTTGCCTCTGTCTTCACAAACAAGGTCAGCTCCCAGACTACTGCACTGGGCAGCACAGCTTGGGAAGGAGGTGGCCAGGCCTCTGTGGAGAAAGAAGTGGTTCGGGACTATTTAGAAAAGCTGGACAAGCACAAGTCCATGGGGCCGGATGCGCTGCATCCGAGAGTGCTAAAGGAGTTGGCGGATGTGATTGCAGAGCCATTGGCCATTATCTTTGAAAACTCATGGTGATCGGGTGAAGTCCCGGACAACTGGAAAAAGGCTAATGTAGTGCCCATCTTTAAAAAAGAGAAGAAGGAGGATCCTGGGAACTGCAGGCCAGTCAGCCTCACCTCCGTCCCTGGAAAAATCATGGAGCAGGTCCTCAAGGAATCAATTCTGAAGCACTCAGAGGAGAGGAAAGTGATCAGGAACAGTTAGCATGGATTCACCAAGGGCACGTCATGCCTGACTAATCTAATTGCCTTCTATGACGAGATAACTGGCTGTGTGGATGAGGGGAAAGCAGAGG